ACCAGATACATCTGTGTTCTCCAGCGTCCAGGGCTCATCCAAGTCAAAATGCGTGTCCCCCCCCATGCCAGGGCCGGGAAAGTAGGCGTGAGCCAAAAACCCCCCGACACCATCAAAGGGGGAGCTGTCTCCATGGAAGCCGGAGGCGAAGAGCACCATGATGTCGGCCTCCTTCTTCCGCTTCTGCCGGATGTCCTCATAGGGCACCTCCCGGAAAACCAGCGGCGTGGCTTGCTCCCACACCCGGAATGCTCGGCGGACAGCCTCGTATGAGTGGTACCGACCCAGCTTCTCCGTGTAGTTTTGGATGCTGGGGGTACAGAGCTCACTGTGGGGTGGCGCGGGACAGTGCTCACTCCCGGAGGGGGTCCATGGCATCCCACGGGCTGGGGGAGTGGGAAGCCCTGCCTGGAAATGTTTGGTACCTGAAGGTGAGATGACTCTGGCTCCAGCGCCGCCCTGTCAGTGCGTACCGCTTCCGCCGCATGTTGGACTTCATCCGCGCTCCAAACTGGTCCGGGACCCCACAGCGGGGACGTTTCATCCACCTGCCAGGAGAACATCGAGCCAGGGTGAGCCCACCGTGGCCATGGAGGGCAAGGGTGGGTCCTGGCTGCAGGGGAGCAGCCCCCAAAACTGTCCCAGTTCCCACAGGAGACAGCACCCACATTTCCAGAGGCAGGCAATGCTCTGGGAAAGAGCCAAATGGCCTGGAGCAGAGCTGCCTGCTGACAGAGCAGGAGGACATGGAGAAACTCACGCCTTGGTCTCCTCATCCAGGACACCGGTGATGGCGATGCCGTAGAACTTCTGCATCTCGGTGAGGGCCGCAGAGAAGGTCTGAGCCGAGCGCATGGTGGACATGTGCCGGCTGGGCTGTGGCAGGTACCCATAGAGCCGTAGCCATGCCTGCGCCAGGAAGTGAGCAGGAAGGGGGGGACATGGGGACACGCAGCTCCTTCAGACCCTGGTGGGGCAGCACCTGACCCATTCCCGCCCAGCGCTATCCCCCCGTCACGGAACATCTGTGCCTGCACCCAGGCAGGCAGCACAGGCAAGCCAGAGCATGCAAGCAGCAGTTGGGAAACAGGGAAGAACCCCCCCTGTTCCATATCATAGTGGGGGAGATCCTCCATACTGGAGATCCTCCAGTCTCGGGGGGGTGCAGAAGGCAGCTGTCAGTGGCCAGAACCCCCACATCAACCCAGAATGCCCCTCTATTATGTGGGACAGATTGGTCTGGACTCTTCCTTCCTGCACAACCCCTGCCTCCTCCTGCCTGCTTTAGCGTCTCTTTTAAAAACATCAATTTTAATTCTTGTATTTTATTTTTTTATTTTTTTTCCAAATTTTCCTTTTTCCTCTTTTAATTATTTTAAAATATTTTTCCTAAATCCCACTTTATTTTTCATTTTCAAATTTATTGTTTTTAATAAAAATATCACTTTTCATTCTTACATTTTTTCCTTTTTTTTTCCCAATTATGGTATTTTTCCTTTTTTCCCCCTTTTTTAATATTAAAATATTTTTGTTATTATTTTTTCTAAATCCTGCTTAATTTCTCGTTTCCTGATTTATTCTTTTTAATCTTGAATGCTTTAATTCTGATTTTTTTTTTATATAATCTTTTACTCATTCATTATTTTACCGCCATCCCCAGGCGGGGTGGCAGAGCACTGACTTTTATCAAAGGCCCTTTCACCCCCTTCCCCCTACAGCGGCACAAAGCTCTTCCTCTCCCTCGTCGGATGCTGCCCGCTGCCTCCGGGGTGACCCGGACAAACCTCCTTCCATCCTTCCCTGCCTGCACCTGCGGATGACGGCGCTGCCTGCCCCTGACCGCGCGGGCAGACAGCGCCGTCATTTACAGGTGCAGGCAGGGACGCAGGCAGGACACCGGCAGGAATGGGGTACCCCATGGGATCCCCCCGCGCCCCTCTCACCTCCGCATCGATGTCCTCTCCAGCGGCCGTCAGCAGCAGCACCAGCAACACCAAGAAAGGCGGGGGGCGCCCGCCCGCCCAGCAGGGGGCGCCGCCACCTCCTGCCATATCGACGCCGGTTCGAGGCTGACCCCCACCACCACCACGCTACCGACGGCCGCGCTAGGCCAGGCCGGGCCGGACTGGGCCCAGCGCGGCGATATCGGACCTACGCTGCCTTCATAGTCCGTGGCCGGGAGGCTGCGCACGGCGCATTGGCAGGCGGCGCGGCTCCACTCCTCGGCCCTGAGAAGAGGAGCGGGCGCGGCACGGCTCCGCTCGATTGGGGGGGGATGGAGGGGGGGGGGGGCGGGCGCGGCTAATGGCAAGGGGCGTGGCCTATGCAGCGAGGGGCGGGGCTTGGCGCGCTCACATCGACACCTGCTCCCCCCGCCCGCTCCCAGCCTCCCTCTAGCCCGGCGCCGGCACTTGCCCGCCCCCTGCTGGACTCTGTCCCCGCCGTTCCGCACGCCCCTGAGGACCCGGCTGAGCGTTAACTGGGGAGAAACCGGTTGTGGCAGCGCCACTTCCGCTGGGCGCGCCCTGGTGGCAGATAAAGCTGTCGCTGGGGAATTATCCCTTCCCCCAGAAGAGAACTCGGGTGTAACCGTGCTCCTTCTCACGCAGATCCGCAGTCAGCAACCGACACAACTTTAACTTGCGGTCCAGAACCCCCCCGTGTGCGGGGCTGCACCCCCAGAGCATGATCAGGAGGTGGAGGGAGGGGGATTCTCCCCCTCTGCTCCTTTTCGGGGAAAATCCCCCCCCCGCCCGCACTCCTGTGTCCAGCTCTGGGGCAACAACACAAGAGGGACATGGAGCTGTTGGAGCGAGTTCAGAGGGCGCCATGGAGATGCTGTGAGGGCTGGAGCAGCTCTGCTCTGGAGACAGGCTGAGAGAGCTGGGCTGGTTCAGCCTGGAGAAGAGAAGGCTCCTTAAGGGGAGACCTTAGAGCAGCTCCAGTGCCTAAAGGCGCTACAGGAAACCTGGAGAGGGGCTTTGGACAAGGGCCTGTAGGGACAGGACAAGGGGGAATGGCTTTAACCTGACAGAGGGGAGACTGAGATGAGATCTTAGGCAGAAGTTCTTCCCTGTGAGGGTGGTGAGGCCCTGGCACAGGTTGCCCAGAGAAACTGTGGCTGCCCCATCCCTGGCAGTGTTCAAGGCCAGGCTGGATGAGGCTTGGAGCAACCTGGTCTAACAGAAAGTGTCCCTCCTGTGGCAGGGGGTTGGAACTGGGTGAGCAGTTCCACACAAACCAGGCTGGGATTCTGTGATTCTTTCTCCCTTCCTCAGCCCCACAGAAACCACCTCATGCCCACCTGGTGCACCACAACATCCTGTTTATTGAGTTGAGGTCCCTCTGCTTTCTGCACATATAAAATACATTTAAAAATGCCATCATTTGTAAACAGCAAGGGGAGCAGTAAGGCAGGGAAACAGCCACAGCACCTCTGTACCCCTCTGCCCCCAGCCGCACGGACTCCTCAGAGGGACTGAGGAGTCCAGTGGCTCCCAGGGTGACAACCGAAGTTGTGGGACTCCACTTCAGACATGGGACCGAAAACCAGAGCCACAGAACCCACCGGCTAACAAACACCACTCTGTCTTGATAGAGGATGGGCATTGAAAAGCACCTCTGCACTGGCAGCTGCTGCTGGGCTCTATGGGAGGTGGCACTCTGCTCCCCCTGACCAGGAGGAGTAGTCTGCAGGTGGGGTGCGCATCCTCTTATTTTGCCATCCAGAGAGACCTGGTCAGGCTGGAGAGATGGGACAGTGCAAACCTCATGGAGTTCAACAAGGCCAAGTGCACAATCATACACTGAGTCGGGGCAATCCCAAGCACAAACACAGGCTGAGGGAGACTGGATTGAGAGCAGCCCAGAGGAGGACTTGGTGGTGTTGGGTGACAAGAAGCTTGCAGCCTTCACAGCATCCCTCAAACATTCATGCTGTGCTTGGGGCTTTTCTTCCTCTTTCTCCTAGGAGGGGCCAAGCCAGGTTTTGCACTAAGATGGGCTGGACCCTCATCACAGATGCAGCAATAGATACACATGAATTCCTCCCTCCCCCACGGTTTTAGAAGCCAAGCAAGGAACAAGGAAACTTAAAGACTGAAAAAGAATGGTTTGCTGTTGAGGTTTAACTCCACCAGCTGAATCTTCAGCTGGAGGAACTGCTCAACTCAGCAAAAGCAGATGTGAAACTATCATCCAGACAGGCAACAGAGGGACAGCTCAGAGCAACACCAGCCACAGAGAGTGTAAACCACCAAGGGAATGATATAAAATGAATTAATACTGAATGCTTTATCCCCAAAGCATCCCTTAAAACCTACATATGGCCCAGTTCCATTCCCTGGACAACTCCTGGAAGAACAGGATTGGAAATCTGGTGAAGAGCTTTTGCTCTTGCATAGTATCTTTAGTATGTCCATACAGCAACAGCACCTTCTCCAGCAAGTGAGCAACCCCTGGCAAGGAGAACATTGCACTGGCATGTCCAGGATTGTACTGATCCTCCAAGAAAGATGCAGGCTGAAGGCAACATCCCACTTAGTAACAGAAAGTGCAGCCAGGAGGAGGGAGATGTAAGAATAAGGGCAGGAGACGGGCAAGGCGGGCCACAGGAAAGCAGAGTTCAGACCAAGCACTGACACAAGAGGACTAGGGAGTGGTGCCCTGTCTGACAAACATGGCTACTAGCTCCCTTTATGAAGACACACAGTCTCCCTCCAGTGTTGGGAGGAGTTGAAGCTGTGGAGAGGAGCCTCATCAGCATGGGGATACACGGAGGAGAGCAGCATGCCTTGCAAACCCCAACCGTGACCCCTTAGTGATGTCTCAGGTAGTGATATCTACCCCAAAGGGGCAGAAAGGGCTTGATCTTGACTACAGGTCTCCTTGTAGTGATGCTCTGGCTTCACCAGGGAGTGAGGCCTGAGAGGAGGAGTCTGACAGCCTGGTATCGTAAGATGACGAGATGCAGACTACCACAGGGCTCTGTCAGCCAAGCCCCAGATTACAATGTTCCTCTTGGATATTCCCAACATGATAACCTGTTTTCTTCTAATTTCCCTTTGGTCCTAGGGGAAATATGCATCCCCTCAACAGCAGCAGTGTGGTTGAACGTGGAGGAGTTGTCAGGCTGTGAGATCCATGAAGATGGTATTGGCAGTAATCTGTCCAAAGATGAAGGCTCCGAAGGTGACCATGAACACCCCATAGCTGACCTGGGCCCACCAGCTGTAAACACAGGACAGGCCTTGTTTACATGGGACCTTCACCCCAATATCCAAGAGGGAATAGCAGAGAGAGGAAGCGTGTTTTGTTTACCTGATTGCTCTGGTTTCTTGGATCTCAGAGAGCTTGGCTTGAATCAGGCAGAGCCCTGAAAGGCAGGGGAGTCAAATGAGACCCAGCTGAGGACTGAGCAGACACCCTACAAGCCAGAGAGCCACACTGCACATTACAGAGCAGAGACTTTGGGCAAAATATTTGGGCTGCTAACCGACCTGACACCACAGTTCTGTCTTTCTTTAAAGACCTCCTGGTTCCTGCATCTCCATCCTGCTCCCTCCCTCCCCAAGACACAAGGCCAGGAGACCTCTGCTGGCCCCCTAGCATCCCCAGATGCCCTACCTGGGAAGACAAAAATGAAGCAGGCAGCCAAGCCTCCAGTGACAGAGATGACTTTTCCAATGTCAGGGATGAAGAGAGCCAGGAGGAGTGTCAGGAGGAACCAGCTGATGGTCTGAAGCAGGCGCCTCCTCCGCTCCCGAACCACATCCTCCTCCACCGTCACCCCGGTGTAGCGGAGCCAGAGACCCTCCAAGACAGCCCTGTGGGCACAGACCCATGGCAGGGGAGTTCTCCATGCTTCCCCTCCTGCCTCCACCAGCCACTTTCCTTCTCTCAGCACTCACCGGCCGCAGAAATGCAGGATGGGGTAGGAAGTCAGCACACAGAGGATGATGAAGGCCCGGGCAAGGGCAACAGGGATGTCGTTGGAGGGGTAGGACATCAAGACATCCTGCTCCACACCAGCTCCAAAGGTCAGGAAGCCACAGACACCTGATGGGAAGGGAACAGTCAGCGGGGGTTGGGGACAAGCCTCCTGCATGTATGTTTGAGGGACAAGACTTGGATGAATTTGGAACAGGGTATATTGTAGATGGACTCCCCTCCATTTCTGCTTTGTCCCTCTGCTTGACCAAAGGGTCATAGAATCATAGAATGTTTTGTATTGGGAGGGACCTCAAAGCTCATCCAGTTCCAACCCCTGCCATGGGCAGGGACACCCTCCACTAGAGCAGGTTGCTCCAAGCCCCATCCAACCTGGCCTTGAACACTGCCAGGGATGAGGCAGTTGCAGCTTCTCTGGGCAACCTGAGCCAGTGCCTTGCCACCCACACAGGGAAGAAGAGCTCTTTTTCCTAAGAGCTCATCTCAATCTCCCTGCCTCCAGAAGCTTACAGCCCCTCTGAGGACCATGCCACACTCTCAGAGCACTCCCTCACTTACCAGTGCCCGTGTAGACAAAGAGGGCGATCACCATGGCCACTGTCACCACTGCCCCCCAGGTCTTTACCTCTGGCTGCTTCATGCTGTTAAAGACAGGCACGCTGCTCACGTGGCACTGCAGGGGACATGGAGAGAGAGGGGGGACATGGGCTGAGCCAGAGTCATGGGGTGCCACACAGGATCTCACTTGTGGTGAGACAGACAGCCATGGGGTGGGAAGGGGAGCACCAGGCTTGTGGCCTTACCTGGAACCCAAAGCAGATGGTGGGCACAGCATTGAAGACAGCAGTCCAAGTGGAGGGACTGGTGGGAGGGAAACACTCACCAGTCAGACAAGGGCCCTCCCCAGTGCCCCAGGGCAGGATCATGGAATCACAGAATCAGCCAGGTTGGAAAAGACCTTCAAGATCAAGTCCGACCGTTCCCCAGCACTGCCAAGGCCACCACTGAACCATGGCACTGAGGGCCTCATCTGCACGGTGTGTGGACACTTCCAGGGATGGTGACTCCACCACTGCCCTGGGCAGCCTGTTCCAATGCCTGAGTGCCCTTTGGGGAAGAAATTGTCCCTAATATCCAGTGTAAACTTCCCCTGGTGCAGCTTGAGGCTGTTACCTCTTGTTCCTTGGGAGCAGAGACCAGCCACCTCCTTGCCCCATCCTCCTCTCAGATAATTGCAGAGAGTGACAATATCCCCCCTGAGCCTTTTCTTTACTGGGGGTGCTCTGTGATGGGCTCAGTCCTCTCCTGTTACTGCGTCCCCGCCTGCCAGGATGACTTGGCACTCCCTGCAGACCAGGACCTTTCACTGAGAGAACCAGTGAAAACTGAGGACTCACAAAAATAAAAGTATCAGTAAATAAACAAGGAACTATTTGGGCAGTGCCAAGAATTGGTCTGAACTTTGCCTGCCCTAAAATTCCCACTGCCCGCACTGGGTCCAGAAATGTCCCCACACCAGAAAGGAGGGGACAAACCACAGGGGCTATGGTGACCAAGGGAATAACCAAAATCATCCTAAAATAGGCACAGCCATTGTTGTTGGGCACAAGCACTGAACAGAGAACTCTGGACCCAGCTGTACCAGAGCTAAAAGTCAATCTGTGCTCCTCAAAACCTGTGATGGAGCTTTGGAGATCTCCAAGAGGACTCTTCCTCCTCCATCACCTCCTCTGAAGCACCCAGTGAGGCAACCACTTGGGAGCTTCTAGCAGCAATGTGCAGCATCCCCAGATGCAGGGATGGGACTTACAAAGGATTTGTCACCAGCCTCTGCAGCCCTCGCTCCTGCACCCCTGCCTGGCTCTGCAGTGCTGTGATGGCCACCATCACCACTGTGTTTCTTGGGCTCACCTGGTGGGAATCTCCACAGGCACCAGCTCCTTGTCGGGCCAGAGGTACTTGATGATAATGACTGCCGTGACATACCAGGTGCCAATCACGCTTAGAGAGCTGCGAGAGGGGACAGGAGGCTGTCAGCATGCTCCCTCCCTGCTCCATGGAGAGTCTTGTCCCAGCATCTCCAGCTTCATCTTCCTCCCTGCACAGCCACCCCAGCCCTCCCATCAGCACCAGCCCTGATCTCCCTTCCCACAGGAATATGCCAGCCAACATCACCCCTGTCCCCAGAGCAGATGCTGATACAATTCCACTGTGCTGGGAGCAGGAGACTTGCCAGCAAGGGGATGGGCTTGCTAGGTTTGGGGCAGGAGAAAGAGATGAGTGTTAAAGAAGTGACACTCCTCGGTAGTCCTGGTCCAGCTCCAGCAGCCAGATTACACCGAGATGCTTGGTGGGGCTGGCCTGCAGACCCCCATCCTGGGGACCCTTACTGGCTCTGCTTTCTGCTGGATAGCCACCTCCAAAGACAGGATACAACGCAGCTGAAAGCAGCTCCCCCTGCATCCTCTAGTGAGCAGAAAGGAGGGACACAATGCCCGGATATACGACAGTGTGGCCACACAGTACTCAGCAGCTTCTGTACTTCCCAGATTGGGAAACAGAGGGACAAGAATGCGAAGGAGATGTCCAGCTCCTCAGGGGCTTGTGGCAGGCAGATATAGCACTAGAACCACAGCATTTCCACTCCTGATCCCCTGGGATGGTGCTTAGATAGATGTTGGCCGACCCCAGCCCCAGAGGGCTCTCCCCACGCACCTGGCATATTTTTGGAAACCGATCTCCTTGGGGATGGAGAGGGGCAGAATGAGGAGGAAGGCCGTGATGCTGATGGTGAACTTGCGGTCCGTGTACCAGTGGCTGCTCCCAGCTTCCTTGGGCTCTGTCACTAGAGCAGCAACGACTGTGGGGACAACCGGAGCGATCAGGTTGTCTCCTTCCAGCTGAAGGGACAGCAAGTGGTTGGATTTGTTCCCCCAAGGGACACACTTACTCTTGTCCTCCTGGTCTCCAATGATGATGAGGAAAGCAATGCAGGTGCCGAAGGTGTAGACAGCGATGGCCACTTCACACAGCACACCAGGCACCTTCCCGCAGACAGCCCACACCACCTCCTGGTAGGTGTGCTCGTTGCTGGCCTGCGAGCAGTACGCCAGGATGACCAAGCCTCCAATGATGAAGATAAGCATGCACTGCAGTGGGGAAGACAAGGAGGGGACACTGAGGCAACAGTGTGATAAGGTCCCAAAGCCACACCAGGCAGCCACCCCTGACATACTGAGCATCTCTGGTGCACATCACCCCACAGCTCTTCTTCCCAGGAGCCAGGCCCTTCCCCAGCCCCTTCTGGGGCTCCACATGGCACGCTAGGCCCCTCTCAGGGTGGGACAGGGGACTGTCCCTTCCCCACGTCTCACCATCTGCAGCGCGATGCCTGCTGCCACACCACCGGCCATGCTGAAGGCAGCAGGGAAGTTGAGCAGCCCAGCCCCAAGGGCAGCATTGACCACAATGAAGACAGCTCCCAAAGCTGACGTGGGCCCCAGACCATTCCCTTGGCTCTCTCCACTCTTTGGCACCGTCTCCACGCTGGGGCTCTGCAGGAGCCTGGCCCGTTCCCCAGCATCAGCGCTCCACTCCCAATCGTTGTAGTCACTGTTGATGCTCCTGGTGCCCTGAGCCATTGTCCCTCCCAGGGTGGCACACACACCAACGTCCACGTCCCACTAGCGCTCCTGCACCAGGCTCAACTGTCTGCCTTGAGGAGGGTCCTGTGCCAGTGCCAGCTCCATCAGGTGGGGAAGGCAGTGAATGGGCAGGTTGGGTACAGCAGCTGTGTGAGGTACTTCACTGCTTCTAGAGGCAAAGGACATGGTAAGTGTTAAAGTACGTTAGCAAGGGACAACCTGAGCATCAGGTGCACAGTGGAAGTGAGTTCCCTGGGTCTCAGCTCAGTGTCACAGCACGCAGGTGTCCTCACGCCAGCAGAGATACAGCAGAACTCACCTCTCATTCCCCGAATGCAGGGTGAGGAAATCGTTGCCATCAGATGGCATGGAGACTGAGCTGTGGCTGTGGGGCCTGGGAGCTGCAGCCTTGCAGCAGGACTCACCTTCCTGCAGGCACAAGACCCAGCGTCACAGCTCTTGCTTCCCCATTTCCAACCCCAATTCCTGCAAGCACTGCAAGAACCGCAGTGCACGTGCTCCTGGATAAAGGTCAAGGCTGAGCTCAACTGGACAAACCAGGCCTGCAGCATAAACACCGTGTCACCGAAAAAAGGGCTGGCCTCTTTCAGCGCACACCATGCTCCCACCAGCATGAGGCGTCTTTGGGAGCTTTTGGACCTGACGACCTGGTGTTTTCAGCACCGCAGTCCTCCGGGGTTGGGCAGCCCTGAGCCTGTCCAAACGCCTCCCAGCTGGAGATAACCCTCACAGCCTGGCAGGGCGGACCAAAGCAGCTGAGGGAAATCTTTTTTTCTCCAGACGCCTCCGAAAACCCCTCCAGACCAGCCCGCCTTTTGCCTCTAGGCTTCTCAAACACCATGCTAGTGCCGGGAATCCTCTTCAAAGCCTTCGGGGAAGGGGGGGGCGGAACCCCGCAGACCTGTGGGGCAGGGTCGCCACCCCCGTGGGTACACCCCGACCCTGCAAGCCAGTGCCGTTCAGAGGGTGACTCCGCAGCTCCCCATCGGCCCCGCGCCGGGAGTGGCAGCTCCCTGAGCCGGTGGCGGACACCCCGCGAATGCCGCAGCGGGTCGCTGTGCTCCCCGCACCCCCCGCTCCTGTTCCCCCCGCGCACCGGCCCCGCTCACCGACCGCTCCGCTCCGACCCCGCTCCCAGCTCAGCGGCGGCGCAGCGCCAACCCCGCCCCTCCCGCGGCACGCCGGGGATTGGAGCTGCGGCTCCGCCCGCACCGGGAAGCGGCGGCAGGCCTACGGGGAGGCAGCGCTGCTCAGGGCACGAGCGAGATGCGAGGGGTCGGTGCAACAAAGGGAGGCCGCGGCACCAGGGACACCATCAACATGAACATCATTAGCTAGGGCAGCGGCACGGAAAGCAGTTTATTGCACGAATCGGAGCAAGCAGAGGGCACGGGGCTGTGTAAACCGTCCTCAAATCGACCAGAGACAGGAGGCTCCGGCGCATCTCGTGATGTGGGAGTGGCTTCCCTCGGCTCGGCTGTGAGAACACGACGGCTCTGGGCAGGAATGAGGACTGCTCCGCTGAATCATGCTGCCATTCTAAGGAATGCTTGCGGTTCCAACTCCCTGCTATGGGCAGGGACACCTTCCACTAGACCAGGTTGCTGCAAGCCCTGCCCAGCCTGGCCTTGAACAGTGCCAGGGATGGGGCAGCCACAAGACCCTAGTGCAAAGGGGAAAGGGGCCAGTCGATGGAAAAATCTTAAAGACAGACACAGAGTTTATCCCCCATATTTCAGCCTCAGATGAATGAGAAACTCCATCGTGCTCCATGGCCAAGTGCAGCGTTGAAAGCCTTTGGGAACTCACATACACCACCTACATGCAAACCTGTAGACTTCAACTTGAGCTCTGTGACACCAATTCCCACCCTGGGCACTCACAGCCCACCCACCCCATGCTCTCAGGACACACATGGGATCCTCGGGAAATGAGTGTTTCATTGGCCAGACCAGATCCTCTGCACTGGCATGCCCCTGAGAGGGAACATCTGGTGTGTGGCAGGGACAGGATCCCACTGTGCGATGACAGGATAAAGTCCCCAGCTCAATACACCCATGCATCAGTTTATTTGAATTAAAAATCATAAAGAGTCCAGGCACCAGGCCTGAGGGACACTCAGCTTAGGACAGCATGGTTTTCAAGTTGTCAGCTCTCAGACCTCACTCACTCAGGATCTTTCCCTCCCGTTTTATAGTGTCACCAGCAGTTTGACCGATCCAAGCAGAGAAGAGGGACATCCCACACCCCACCATGAAGGTGGACCCCTTGGTTCATGGCTCTGGGGCCCACCAAAGGCCTCTGCTCTTCAGGGAGGGCTGCTGGGGTTGGGACAGGAATGGGAGAGGCAGAGACTGACTGGCTTTCAGAGAAAGTTATTGGGAATAGAGGATGAGCAAGTGTTTCACCTCAGGGTACATGACTGAAGTCAGAACTGGGCAGATTTAGAGGAGGGATGCTGCTCTGCCCCACACACCAATACCTCTGTGAGTCACACCTGATTCCAGATGGAAAGCAAAGTAGCGACTGAGCAGATTTTGATAACAAGCAGTCCTCAGAGCTTTGGTGCTGCCCAGCCCTGGGTGAAGAGGATGAAGGGGGATAAAGGAGGATGAAGCTTGCGGGCAGCAGGGACTGTGAGGAGGTCAGAGAAGCAGGTCTGAGCAACCCTTCCACTCAGCCTCCCATATCCCCTTCCTGCTGCCTCACAAAGCCTTCTGGAGAGCTGAGCATGGGGGAGCCTCTGGTGCCTCTGCTGGTAGGATGGCAGTGTGAAGCTGCAGCTTCCTCCAGCTTGTGAGGGTGCTGGGGCTGATGGACAGCAGGGGAAAACGGCTGTGACAAGCAGGAGCCAGCAACGACATCCCTGCTCCACACTGCAGGGTGGTTTTCACTAGGCTTCTACAACAACTTATCTACAAGATACATTCAGCAGCGGCGTTGAGTGCTGTGCTTGAAAGTATTCTGCTTCTTTTCTTTCCCTCCCCATCTTTGACTGGTAGGGAAGGGAAAGCCCCCAGCTCCAGGGCACACCTGTGTCTTTACTTTGTGACTTGATGGATGGCATGAGCCAGGTACCCTACGTTGCCCGACGTAACTCCTGCCACAGAGATTCGCCCATCTTTTGTCATATAGATGGAGAACTCCTTGATCAGCCGCTCCACCTAGGGTGAAAGAGCACAGGTCAAACCACAGGCCAACCTCCACAGTGTCAACAGAGGGCAAACTCACAAAGCTTGCCAGAACTGAGCTCAGCCTGTGTGCCAGCAGACATGGCATCCACCTGCTTGGAGCTACTATAGTTGCCCAGAGAGGTGGTGGAATGCACAATAACTGAAACATTCAAGGCCAGGTTGGATGTGGTTCTGGGCAACCTGATCTAGTTGAAGATGTCCCTGCTCATTGCAGAAGGGTTGGACTAGATGAGCTTTGAAGGTCCCTTCCAACGCAAACCATTCTGTGATTCTATGACTCTAATGGGCAGCCAGCATCAAGCCCTGTAAACCAGGAGAGATGCTGCTCAACTCTTCGGCAACACATGAATGCTGCAGACATTCAGCCAGGAAGTCACCTCACTTGAGCTGACTTTAAGGTCACCTCAGAGTGGCACCACGTGACTGCCTCCTTTGACAAATAAGCAGGCTGTTTGCTTTCAACCTGCACAAGCACAGCAAGGAACAGAGCATGACCTGGGTCCCCATGACACTCCAATGCCAAGGGCTTGGAGGATGTTCCTCCTGGAGGAACAACTGCCTATCAGAGCTCAGTCTGGCACCTGTAGTCTAGATCTTACTGACAAGGACTGCAAACGACACCTTGAGTCCACAGGAACTACATTTACCTGCTCAGGCTTCAGCCCCGTGAAGCAGAACATGCCAATCTGGTCAGTGATATGCTGCCAGTTGTGGGAGGATCCCTCTTTCTTGAGGTTGGACACCAGCTGAGTCCGCATGCTGATGATTCGGTCAGCCATGCCCTTCACCTCCACAAGCCTGAAAAGCCAACCCAGGAACAGCTCAGAGCAGGGCTGGGATTCACCCACACCGCTCCCCCATTCCCAACTACAGGGAATCAGCTCTCTTCACCTGGAGAGACCTCATTCAGGGTTGCAGATGAGCCAAGACCAGGGATTGTGAGCCTGCAGCTCCAGCTGGGGAGCTGCTTCCTTCTCCTGCTACCTGAAGATGACTGCTATTTATTATTTACTCCATAGCTGTTGGACAATGAAGTTTAGGCATCTCTCTTTTGAAAGGTATGGGTCAGCAGGAGGCCGGATGGCAGCACTGCCCAAACCCATATAAAATAGCACCTGCAGACAGAGTGCAGGGATACACCCAGGGCAAGCAGACATTCCCTGCTCCAAGGCAGCACAGCTAGGAGACATCTCTGCTTATCCCTGGATCAGGCACAAGCATCAGCCTGCCAATGGAACCCTGCTACCAGTGAGGCCACAGCACACTGCCAGCCTTTGTTCTGCCAGGCCAGCTGCCCACAGGGACTGACACCAACAGAATGACACCAGAAAGCATGACACCAGGAAGCAGGCTTAGGGCATGAGGGTTACATTCCCGGGTCTTGTTCCCAGGGGCTTATGCTTCCACTTCCCCCAATGCCTCAGTCCTTTCCACTGCTTGGATAGGCAGCTCCTGCAGCTCTCAATCCTAGGGGAGCTTTATCCCCTCCTTTTTTCTGTCTTGGCAACACAAGATAAACCTGTTTGTGTCAGGCAGGACCAATCCCAGCTGATGCCAAGACATGAGCAGCAATGTCTCCAGAGGAAAGGGACAGCACATGGTTCTGACTGGACCCCTGGCTCTGACTGCAACCCTGAAGCTTAGAGCTGCCCAGGACAGCAGCAGGGAGTAAGCACAGCAGAGGGATGCCACAGAGACCTCACATCTTGCTGCTGTGAGCATTAGGGGCTCCCTCTTACCACTCCTTCCGTATGTCAGGGGTGTTGAGAATGATGGAGGCAATGCGGGCTCCATTCAGGGGTGGGTTGGAGTACATGGGACGGATGAGGATCTTCAGCTGTGACTCAACCCTCTTGGCTTCCTCTGCATTGCTGCAGATCATTGTGAAGGCACCTGCACGCTCTCCTGAAAGAAGGTGATCAGGTCTCAGACTCAGCCCTTAGATACTCAGGGCTGGGGTAGGACTTATCCAAGTGCCACCCAGCTTTAGTAGAGCCCTGTTCTCCAGCAGGGCCTCCACCAGCTCCCAGCAGGTGATCTCCTGTGCCGTGATCACTACTGCAGAATAACATGGGCAGCAGAAGGACAGTGGCTGCTAAACCCCAGAGGCAGCCTAAGTGAAGCCATCTCCATGCCAACTGCCCTACTCACCATACAGCCCCATGTTCTTGGCATAGGACTGTGATATGAGGACGTTGATGCCCTGGTCGATGAAGTAGCGCACAGCCCAGGCATCCCGGTTGATGTCCCCACTGGCAAACCCTTGGTAGGCCATGTCAAAGTACACAAGGAGGTTTCGTTTCTGCAGCAGAGAGGGGAGAGAGCATCAGAGGAGCTGGACACCCCTCCAGGGAGCAGGGCAGCAGGCTGAAAAGAGCCATGCAGGCATCAGCCTGCTCACTGCAACTCCAGAAGTAGAGCCATTCCCCTTTGCCACAGGGAAAGCAGCCCAAAATCCACAGCTACCCATCATGCACCAAAACAGCAGGTAAAGACCCTCCTGGTGCATTTATGGGATGTGTAGTCTGGCCCAGGAGACAGAAGCAGATTCAGTAGTGATAAATTATTCCATTTCTGTGTCTCCTGTACTATCAGTTTCCACAGAAACCAGCCGGGAACTCTCTAGGCAGATGCCAGCCCTTCCACTGCCTCCAGACAGACAACCCAGCCACACTGCCCCTCTGTCAGGAGACCTGCAGCCATCTGTAGGCCATCTGTAGGCCACTGATATTGACCAGTGCTCAGGCTGTGACTAAGGCAGGCATCCCAAAGCCAAATTTCACTGGCTACAGCTTGGGGAAGCAGCAGGGAGGAGGAGAATGATGAAGGTAGAACCAGCCCCATCTGTTTTCAGTTGAACCTTGTGAGAGGATACCAGGCATATGAAAGATCTTGCAGCAGTTTTAATACATCAGCACTGGGAGCACCCCTCCAGCTATCACAGCTCACTCCTTCAACCCTGCTGCTCTCCTTTCAGGTCTCCCTACCTGGGAAGGTGTCAGCAGAAAGTCTGATGGTCAGCTAGAAAGTATATGGCTGTATTTGTGTGGCCCCTGTCTTCAGAACAGGAACAGGACACCCATCCTGGCTTCACGGAAAGGAATAACCTTTAGCACAGCAATGACCCAGAGATGGTGTTCCCAGGAACAGCAAGTACCCATGGGACGCTGTACTGCTCACCTTCACCAGAGCCGCCACCTCCTTCCATTGCTCCTGCCGAGGATCCACCCCAGTGGGGTTGTGAGCACAAGCATGCAAGAGGATGATGCTCTTCTCTGGAATTTTCTAAGGAAGATATTAGAAAGCATGAATTATTAATGACATCTGAGCACTCTCCTCAGCAGCCGAGATGAGACTCTTGACCCAGACAGCCTGTATGAGCTCTGCAGGGCTTCTAGCCTTGATCTGGGGCCTTCACACATCACACTTAGGCTAAAGCAAGAAGATCGCCCATCTTCTCACATCTCATCCCTGCTTCCAGGCATGAAAGGCAACTCACAGAAATGTCATCCATGGCTCCAGAGAAGTCAAGGCTGCATGTCTTGGGGTCATAGTAGCGGTAAGCCTGCAGCTGCAGGCCAGCATCACGGAAAATAGGTGTGTGATTGCCCCAGGACGGTTTGGGTAGGTACACATCACGGCTCGACTTGAAGAACCGTTGCTGATCAAGACAAAGACATAAAGTGTTGAAACATGTTGAACAGCTTCAGACTGTTAGAAAACCCCAAAGATTCAGCTCTGGTCCTTTCTCTCCTGCACCAGCCAAGGACTCACCAAAAAGCTGGCTCCAATCCGCAGAGATCCAGTCCCAGAAATACCCTGAACAGTGACATACTGCAAAGGAATAAACAAGTACCCAAGTGTGAGCAGCCATGGTATGATACAGGGAAAGGCCAGTCACTACATCAGCATTGGCAGAAGCACACCAGAACAGGGACATGGGGCTGGAGGGGACCACATGGGTCAGCAACTCCAGTTGCAAGGCAGGGAGCTGGGACAAGGTCAAAAACCCTCCTTGGAAAGGGCTGTTTCCCACTTCAGCTTTCAGAGGAAGCATTTACTTATCCAGGCTAGCCAGCCTGCAGCTCAGAGGCATAAGTACCCTGCTGGTTCTTCCACATTTGCTGGGAACCTACCTAACCAACCATACATCAGAAGGTGCTGCCAACCCCTGCTTCCCATCCTGCTCCTTACCCGGCCACTCTTGAGAACCTCACTGTTTTCACCCAGAGCCAGTTCTGCAGATGCCCGAGTGAAATCTGCTAGCCCCCCAATGGGCAAGTACTCCTTGTCCATCTTCTTGGATGCTATCATGGCCTCTGCCTGGGAAGGAGGACACATAAGTCAGCAAGGAAGGCATCACTGTGGGGAGGATGGTGGACAGCTCAAGATCACTTCATATCTGCTAGCTCAAAAGGTGCTAAGGTTGTTTTACAGGACCTTCCCTTCAGAGATCAGGGCTGGTTCCAAGCACAGGGCAGGAGTAAGCATTTCAGATTAAGCCCTTTCACCATGGGGCAAGGTGCCCAGCGGCTACCAGAGCCATCAGTGGGTGCCACTGTCAGTATAGCAGAGCCCAGAAACCCAACACCAGAGGAGAGCATCACTTCAAGCCCGTCACAAGTCAATGCTGCTACACAAGGAACATGTTTCTTTGCCCAAGCAGGAATTGTCCTGCAGGAAGACGACAACAGACTGTTCAGAAAACAGTCCAAGTCTCTACCTAACAAATATCAGAGAGTGGAGGCAAGAACAGCCACAAGGAGCAACGCTCAGGAAAAATAGAGCAATAGAGATATCTGGAGCACTTTGGGAACCCTACTTGTGCTCCCAGAGCGGTGGAACAGGCACTGGCAACATTCACATACCACCAGGAAACTGTTCCTGTGCCACGATCAAGGTTCGCTGGTTGTGACCCAGCTGCAGTACATGCTGACATGGGGAGAGCGAGGGCAAGGGATGGCTTTAAACCTGACAGTGATGAGGAACATCAACAGCACATCCTCCCTTCCTCGCTGGCAGCCCTGAAAGGCTCCGGAATCCCCTCAAGGGCAGTGTCCCCATCCAGCTCCCTGAGCTGGAGTTTTAGCCTGGCTTACAGAGAAACTGCTAACACTGACTCAGCAGAATTTCTAAGACTAACCCACAGAGGGGACAGTGTCAGCTCTTTCCTACCATGTGGGCTGGCCCAGGGAACACCAGCCTATTGAAGAAACACTGAAGTTCAGAGGACAGCTGGACTGGAGGACTCATGGACATCAGCAACAAACAGATTTACCTGGATGGGAACAGGCCATGCGTTCCCTGTTTTATCCCCCACTACTTAACAGCTCTGTTGTATCTCAAAAGCATTAGGACTGCTAAGGAAGACATCCAGGAACACTGTCCTGCTCTGTTAGAGACAAAGCTTATTCTAAGGGCCAACAGGCAACCCTTGCTAAGAAGCCTTCCCCCTCCCTGACAACCCTAGGTGTCCAACACCTGGGTGTGGCCCTGCCCAACAGCAGCACCAGGCTCACCTTGCGAACACAGTTCAGGACATACGGCTTCCCGCTGTCATCCCGGTAAGCCCCCACTCCCAGGTTCATCTTCTTGGAGTTAGTGTCGCGCTTGAAAGCTTCTGTCACACCCAGGATGGGGTCGGGGGGACCCATCTCCACATGGGACCACCATGAGCTGAAGGCAAAGGAAAAGAAGCTAAGAATCAGGCTTGAGAATTGGCCAGGGATGTGCATCAACATGGCTAGAGGGAAATCTTTGTTTAAACCCCTGGAAGAGGAACAAGAAGTGCTAAGAGAAATATCCAAGGCAAAAAAGAACCAATCCTTTGTGCTCCATGAGCTGGCACTGCATTTTATGTTGCAGAATGGTCAAAGAGCTTTAGTTCACTGTGGCTGAAGATTAACTGACTCCCTGCAAGTCATTAACACGTAGACATGGCTCTGTTTGTCTCATGTGCTAACATCAGGAAGGCCCCAGGAAACAGAAGGCTTTGCACCAATACAGGGCTGCTTCCCAACTCCTGGAAAGGCTCATGTAAATGAAGACTAATCTGCTCTTCCTGCAACATCGGCTGAGCCAATGCAGACATTACCCTTCCCTGCCCTACAAACTCTGCCAGATGCTGTTTTTCATGGAAATCAGAGAACACTTTCTTCCTGGTGTGACAAGTGAAACTCCATGTGAAGGCCCCTTCCCTTGCTGCCAAGGAGAAGCTTTGTGCCCCACTCTACAGCACCTGCTCTACAAACCACCTGCCTCCGTCCTGTTGGTAGGACATCCTGAAGATGGAGAGGCTCTCTTAATGTCAAGGGCAGACCAGACCATGCTATAAAAAGAAACCTGTTCTTCTCTCTTCGGCCACAGCCAAAGTCCCATTTCCTGGCCTTGCAGGCTTGTAGATAGTGCAAGAGAAGCACTTGTAACCTGCCTGACAGACAGCCCCCTCCTGAATTTAGGATTACTAAAGACAATAACCGCACATCCTGGGAGCATCCCGACCTACGCAGATGCCTGAGCTCAGCAGGGCACAAAGCACCCAACAAAAGGTAGGCTGGGTTTATCTCCTCTGGGGCAGGATTTAGTCTTAACTGCTGAAGGAAAAACTCATAGTCTGATGGCTCCACATACCAGCCTCACAGAGCTTTGAAGCCTGGAGGAGGCCACCTACCTCACCTGAAGATAACAACCTTTTCAACTTTGGAATGCAGTCCTGGAACTGGATCCTGACCCAGGCAAGGCTGGCAGCCTGGAGACACCAAGGTCAGTAGAGCCAAACAGGCTAAGGAAGCACTAATGTGATCAGCAGAATTCACAAAATCATTTTCTCCCTCTAATCTATCCCAATTTTGGGTCTATTTAGACCCGACTTGTTCACAGAATCCCAGAATGTTTTGCGTTGGAAAGGACCTTAAAAGTCATCCAGTTCCAACCCCCTTTCACTAGACCAGGTTGCTCCAAGCCCTGTCCAACCTGGCCTTGAACACTGCCAGTGATGGGGCAGCCCCAGCTTCTCTGGGCAACCTGTGCCAGGGCCTCAGCACCCTCACAGGGAAGAATTTCTTCCCAAGAGCTCATCTCAATCTCCCCTCTGTCAGGTTAAAGCCATTCCCCCTTGTCCTGTCCCTACAGGCCCTTGTCCAAAGCCCCTCTCCAGGCTTCTTGTAGCCCCTTTAGGCACTGGAGCTGCTCTATGGTCTCCCCTTAAGGAGCCTTCTCCAGGCTGAACCAGCCCAGCTCTCTCAGCCCGTCTCCAGAGAAGAGCTGCCCCAGCCCTTGCAGCATCTCTGTGGCCTCCTCTGGACTTGCTCTAGCTAACTATTCACTAAACATACTTTGCACTGTCATGTATGTAGATCACATCTCACGGAGCTTCTAACATCATTTGCTCTCTTTAGATGTAGCTGCTCTTCCATCAGTACAATATTTCAAAATAAAGCCTCCATTTCTCCTCTTGACAGGCAAAAAGAGCAGCAAATACATACGAGGCTGAACCATCATGGGTAGTTTAAAAATGGAAGATGTGCTTAGCATTTCTAGACCACTAACAAGTCTTAATTACCTCTCCAGTAAAGTACAGGATCAACTTAGAAAGGAGGATGAGTCAGTCGTGCCAACAACACTCCTCAGAAAGGAAGATGGGCTGCAGCCAGCGGGAAGGGAGCAGCCTGGGGAGCCAACTTGAACAGCGCACGGGGCAAAATGCTGCTGCAGGTTCAAGCAGCAGGTTTGGAAAACCTCTCCCAACACCTTCCTGGCAATGGAGAGGTGAGGAAAGAGAAACACACTGCACAGGAGCACATCCTACTGCAGTTTACCTCGTCTAGGATTATTTTGGTATTGAGGCATGCAGGAGCCTGGCCATCCATTTCAAACTGCTGCTGCTCTGGAGGTGGGGCAGCACCTTCTTTCTGCTCAGTTTGTCACTAAGCAGCTTACAGTGTTTGGGGTATTTAAAGCCCAATCTTTCAAAAACTTAAGCACGTCACTGGGCTCTAATATACTGCTACAACTACTGCTGATCCTGTGGGCATTTACCTAAGCTATAGCACTACTGAGTTACGTACTTCTGTTCTGAGCTGGTCTTTCCATTAGCTTAAGGCAGCGAAGGGTTAAGTTTAGGACTTGATTTTCCCCTTCTCAGCCTGGAGGTTTTCAGATGAAGGCTGAAGAAAGACTGCTGTTTCCAAGGCAGTGAGCTTTCAAGGAGACAGGGGAAGAAAGCCCAGACTGAGATGTCCACACACATCAGGACACCCAGAAGATCACAGAGGCAAACCTTTCCAGACAGAGGTTTGGGAAAAGGGATCTACCACGGATCCAAAGCCACAAGTCCTGACACACTGCTACCCCTATGTTACCACCGTGTTATATTTTACTTTGAGCAATTAAAAGAGCACTGGTCTTAAATAAAGGTCAAAGTTATAAACTGCACATCTTCTCTACCAGGCTGGAGGTATTCCAGTGCATAAAACTAACCAGAGGGAAGTCTGAGCTGAGGGATCCTAGGTATAGGGCAAAGCACGCACATCCTCCATATACAGGACCAGAACAGGTGGCCCAAGTCAGAGTTTAGATGCTGATGAGAGCTGGTATTAAAGTACTCTCTGTACTCATCAGCCAGGATTATCTTCTGAGCCAGTTTAATGCCCAGCTGCAAGCACATTGTGACAGATGAGACAGAGAGGGCAGGAAAATGTACCAGGAACTGCAAAAAACAGTAACACCCTTCAAAAATGTATGTGGAACTTATGGCCTGAGCTGCAGAGACCCACGGGCATGCTTACAGACTCAAGCCAAACCCAGAGAGCAACTACACAAGTGTTCAGAAGCCCAGTGAAGGTTTCAATTGGGAAGAGGCCAGTCCACATTCCCTGCGGTACAGCCAGGTAAGATACTGGATTTCAAACCTCCTCCAAAACCCCTACAGCAGTTCTGCAAGCCAGAGCAGAGCAGAAAGGGGCCAAAGGCGACTCTCTGGATACCACAGCTAACACAAATATTTACACAAGTACAAAGCCAACAGGCTGCTAGCTGGCTCCTAAGGTCCTTTCAAGCCTAAAAATTCATTGCCCCAGTGAGTTGTGATAAGCTTCCCACCAGAAAAAGCATTTAAAATAGCTGTCTGGTGATACACCAGAGCAGCAGGTGAGTTATCACCTTCATTAGCATCTGTGTGTCAAGGGAGCCTTTAATCATTTGGTCAGTACCTCTTCACCTCCATCCTGATTTCAGAAAGACTATTTCCAGCACAGAGCACCAAAGCTGCTGAAGATAAGCACACAGAAACTGCTAATCACTGCCTGGCATTCCCTCTCCAGGGATAATGAGCCACTCTTTGGGAACAACAGTGGCTGTGCACAAAGGTTCTTTAAGTAAAAAACGGATGGTTCACATGTCTTTTAGGTGACCTCAATTTGTTAATTTATATTTTGCTGTGTAACAAGCTTGAGAAAAGCAAAGCTATTGCCAGTGATCTTGCACACCTCTCACAGGCCTGCTACAGTTCAAGGGGCAAAAAACATGTTCTAGGCAGCTGCTCTTCCATATCCAGTGAGAAGAGGCTGCTGTAGAAGAAGCAGGCACTGAGAGTACTTGTCTCACAAGGCAGTAAGGGACTGTGCTTGACAGAACAGCGTTAATCAATAGCTAAAAGCCTTATTTACTGGAATGGAAAATAACCCACCACTTTCCTGCTCTGACAAGGGCTGGGAGTTGTTCCTTAAGAGTTTTCAGAGCCAGTGTGGTCCAGGAGTCAAAGGGTTCTGCAGACATGCAGCAAGGCTCTTGCCCAGATTTCTCCACACTGGTCACAGTGGTGTTCCCAGTCAGTGGTCTGTGTGTCTGGGGTCAGCTGTGCTGTGTGGGGCTGTTCTGGGCTCTCCTCAGGGCTCCAGCTGCACCCTACATCCTCCTGCCCATTCCTCCCTGGCTTCAGACACAGTGCAGCCCAGAGCTGACCACAGGAACATCCTTACTCCCATCCTGTTCACACCAGGGCTTGCACACCTAAAGGCATGTCTCTAGCAGCGGTACCCCAGCCCTTCTGCATGGTGCATAAGGTCCCTTTGCGCCCACTATACGGTGCATGCAAGGTAACAGCAACCCAGCGCCATTTTGCAGCGCACGAGGCCCTTCATGCCCCACTGCACACTCCCCAGCCCCATTTCTCAGTGCACAGGATGCCCCGGCCCCTGTTTCTTGGGGCACAGGGCGCCCCAGATCCCATTTCTCGGTGCACAGGGCATCCCGACCCTGCGGCATACCCGAAGCAGCACCGTTTCTAAGTGCACAGGGCGCACCCGGGCCCCTTTCTCGGGGCACAGTTCCCCCCCACCCACGCGCCCTCCACGGTGGCTCCTCAAGGGCAGGCTGCAGGCGTCTGTCGCGGCCGCAGCCAATCAGATCGCGAGGAGGCCGCGCTCCCGAGCCAATCCCTGCGCCTTCACGCCGGCAACCCCCGGTCCTCGCCGCGGCGCCTACAGGCTCCGCAGAGGGACACGCTTCCCCCTCGCGAAGGGCTCACAGTCCCTCCCCACTTCACTCCCCCCCCCCCCCCGCCCCCCTCCCCCCATGTTGCCGCCTCACAGCGCGAAGTACGGCGGCGGGAAAGCCCCTCCACCGGCATCGCAGGATGGCTCCAGAGGCTGGGCCTCCCCTCAGCCCTCACCTGGCGCGGGTAGCAGCGGCGGCGAGGCGCGGGGAGGCAAGCAGCCGGCCGGTGCAGAGCAGAGCCATGGCGGCGAACGGGCTGGCTGGCAAGCGGACACCTCACACGACGGCTGCGGGCCCTCGCCCCGCCCCGCGCATGCACCGCCCTACCTTCCGCTGTGCCGATATGCGCCCCCTGGCAGACGGGAGGGCTCTCTGCAGCCTTGCCGTCCGGTGTTGCGCTGCGGTGGCCTATACTGGGTTGTATTGGACTGGACTGGAGTGTACCGGGCTGTATTGGGCTATGCTGATCTTCACTGGCCTGTACTGGAGTGTGTTGGGCTCTATTGGGCTGCACTGGGGGTATTGCGCTGTTCTGAGGTGTACTGGACTGTACTGTTCTGTACTGGGGTGTACTGGGATGCGCTGGGGTGTATGGAGCTGTACTGGAGTGTGCTGAAGTGTACTGGAGTGTGCTGGACTGTACTGGGCTGTACTGGGGTGTACTGGGATGCACTGGGGTGTATGGAGCTGTACTGGAGTGTGCTGGACTGTACTGGGCTGTGCTGGGCTGCATTGGGCTGCAGTGGGGTGTACTGGGCTGCAGTGGGGTGTACTGGGCTGGGATATGGAAGTCTGTACTGCACCATATTGGGCTGTACAGCACTGTAGTGGGCTGTGCTCGCATGTATAGGACTGTACAGCACCAGACGAGTGGTTCAGGTACAGGACCGTACAGGGCTGTGCTGGCTGTACTGTATTGCACTGCACTGTACTGGACTGCATGGGACTCTACTGAGCCATATGGTTGTAGTGGGCCATCCTGGGCTGTACCTGGCCATATGGGGCTGTGATAAACACATAAATGTATTGGTTTTCGCAAATCATAGGTGTGGTTATGTGGATATAACTGTACCAGTTTACAATAACAGAAGCAAAGCTCGCTAAAGACACAAGATTAGACAAGAAGTTAAAAAGGGCCAGAACTGTTGAGCAAAACGGAGTCACATAGCAAAAGAATTTGTAAAGGCAAAAGAAAGGAGGGGACGGGCCAGGAAGACTTGATATAAGAAAAGCTAGTGCCTGGAGAACATAGAGTTAAAGCACTTTTTAGCTTAACTTAGGTTGCGGAAAGAGAGCAGTGTTTATGTTGTAAGTGTGTGGAATGTAGTGGCCCACCTAAACATGAGTTAATTGTTTCACACTAGTCTTTGAAAGTATCTTTAGCTTTAAAGAGGAATGTTTGTGTTGTAAGCCTGTGATGAGACAACAGGATTTAGTGGCCCCACTAAACATGAATGAGTTATTTCACACCATCCTTCTAGCTATCAGTTAAGAGACAGAGCCTCCCAAACACCTGCTAGCTTGGGATACTCCTTGTCTGCCTATCCTGCAATCAATTTTGCAGGAAGGTCACGCTGTTTTAAATCTTTGCCAGCTATCAGAAGAATTACAGATATGGCTGGTTTCAGCCAGTTGTGTGATTACTGGGGCGTCCAACTGTGCCAAAGCTGAAAAGTACACCGCGAGGAAGGCTGCTTACGTCATCCTCAAGACCCCTGCCCACAATCACTGGAGAGCAGTGTGCAGACGCCAAGAGGAGGAGCCTTATGACAGTAAGTTCCGGGAGTTAGTTATAATATTCCCTGCCTATACGTGGGAATTATGAATATGCATGTCACTAACGCAACAGGGAAAGTATATAAACCTGTAACAAATGCTAATCGCTTGTGCCTCTGGCTACGGTCATGCACCCAGCGCTGGGGCTTTTGCTTCATTCACCTTGCCCCTCAATAAAACTCCGTTATTTCGTTTAGAGGAGTGAGTTCGTATTTCACAGGGCTGTGCAGGACTATATGCAAGACTATTGGGGCTGTGCAGGTGTATTGCTCCATGGGGCTGCACTTCACTGTATAGGACTACATTGCATAATATGGGGCTGTGTTGACCCAAACTGGGCTGTACAGGACTGTACTGAGCCATATTGGACTGCATAGGGTTTTACTGTACCGTATGTGCTTGTACCGGGCTGTACAGCACCACACTGGGCTATACCGGGCTGAACTGGACCATAATGGGCTGTACAGAGCTGTAGTGGGTTATACATGGCCATATAGGACTGCACTGCACCATACTGGGCTGTACAGACCTGAACTGGGTTATCCTGCATTGTTATAGAGTTGTACTGGGTAATACATGGCCATATAGGATTGCACCGCACCATATAGGACTGCACTGCACTATCCCGGGCTGTACAGGGCTTAACTGGGTGTCCTGGGTTCAGCAGTAGCAGTCATTTTTCTCCTTCTTGGTAGCTGGTGCAGTGCAGTGTTTTGACTTTCGGCCTGGGAACAGAGCTGATAACAATGATGTTTTGGTTTGGTCAAGGAGTTTGTGAGCCTCATGCTCTGCCAGGGAGGAGGGGAAGCCGGGAGGAGGCAGAGACAGGACACCTGACCCAAACTGACCAAAGAGGTATTCCATACCACAGCACGTCATGTCCAGGAGGTAACTGGGAGTTAGCCGGAAGGGCTGGGAGACTGCAGGGTTGGAGGAGGTATCGGTCGGTGCTTGGTCGGGCTGGGGGGCCAAGTTATTGGTTGGTTGGTGGTGAGGTGATGTATTCTCTTCCCTTGTTATTTCCTTTATCATTGTTATCATTGGTGGTATCAGTAGTGATTTGTGTTATACCTTAGTTACTAAACTGTTCTTATCTCAACCCATGGGAGTTGCATTCTTTTTGATTCTCCTCTCCGTCCCTCTGGGAGTAGGGGGAGGGGAGGGAAAGAAGGGGGGGAGTGAGTGAACGAGTTACCTGACTGGGTTTAAACCACGACACTGGGCCATACTGGGAGGGGCCACAAGCCTTGTGGACTCTCCCACCCATCATCCAGGTAGGGGGTCAGGGTACAGGACCCACCTCTCCTGTTCCCCCCAGCCCCATTGCTGCAGCAGGAGAAGGCTTTGCTGTACCAGTACTTAACTTTATTTGTAAACTCTCGTTGGTCAACCAGAGAAAACCAACAAAAGACCAAAACAATGAAAACAATCCCCCAAAATAATATAGATCATGATGCCAACTAGGAGAATGGGATGAAATTAAGTTTCCCCCCAGAATTAGGGCTTTAGTGACCTACAACAAACTCAAGAGCTGCTGAGGGAGCGCTGCAGTGATGGGTGTTCCCCTGTTGTGCTTGGTTGTGGGGAGGAGGAGGCATGTGGGGTAGGGTGGGATGGGGTGGGATGCTTCTACATGGTCCTACACAGGGGGCTCGCTGCAAAGCACAATCTCCAGTTCCTTGCGGTAGAGCTTTCCGGCGTCAGACAGGTTCATGATGCTCTTCCTGTAGTTGGTGAGATGCTGGATGCTCATCTCCTGCAGAGGAGGAGAGGAGGGAGGTGGTGGGAGCTGGGGACCCTGTTTCTCCCTGGGGAGCACCCCCAGCTTGTGATCACCAAGCATCTCTCCTGGTCACTGGGCAGTGTGGATACAGCAGGTGGGAGATAATAAAACCATAAAATCAGCCAGGTTGGAAAAGACCTTGAAGATCTTCAAGTCCAACTGTTCCCCAGCACTGCCAAGGCCACCACTAAACCATGCCGCTGAGGACCTCGTCTACACAGTTTGTGAACACTTCCAGGGATGGTGACTCCACAACTGCCCTGGGCAGCCTGTTCCAATGCTTGAACACCCTTTGGGGAAGAAATTGTTCCTAATCTCCAGTCTAAACCTCTCCAAATGCTGCTGGAAGAAGATGTACTGGGGAGCGTGGGTGGGGGGAGGGGGGGCCACCTGGGCTCTGTCCTCCACTTACTTTTTTATTCTTCTCATACAGGTCTTTCAAAAGTGCATCCAGCTCGTTCTCATCAATGAAGCCACTTCCATCCTGGATAAGGAGGGAGGGACATCAGGAGGGAGAAGGACACGAGCAAGCCCCACCACCCTGGGCATGGGTGCAGGGGACACCCCCAGACCATTAACCAGCACTCACACCCCACATCGAAGCAGGGAATTGACCCAACTGAAAATACATGTTTTTTTTTCCCCAAGTTGTATTTATTTGGGGCAGTTTCCTGGGATCCAGCCCCCTACCTTGTCATAGAAGGCAAAGATGGCATTGAACTCCTCCGAGGACAGCTTCACCCCCTGGGAAGCAGCATGGGACACCAGGGCATGAGGGAGGGATGAGGTGCAAGCAGGGAACAGGATTTAATTTATTATTATTACTATAATTAATATCATTAATATTATATTTTTATTAGTTTTATTTTACCTGAAACTTCAGAAGGAAGTTTTCTTGCACAGGCAGAAGTCTGAAAGACAAGAGGGTTCAGGGATAAGCAGGAAGCAGCCAGGAAAAGACACTTTTAAAACCCAAATGTGTTTTGGATAGGTTGAGGGATGACGGTTTTAAATTAAAAGAGGGAGATTCATGCTGGATGTGAGGAAGAAATTTTGTGCATTGCAGGTGGTAGAACACTGGCCCAGGTTGCCCAGAGAGGTGGTGGATGCCTCATCCCTGGAGACATTCCAGGCCAGGCTGGACGTAGCTCTGGGCAGCTTGGTCTAGCTGTTGAACGTGTCCCTGCTTCCTGCAGGAGGTTGGACTAGATGAGCTTTGAAGGTCCATTCCAACCCAAACTGTTCTAGTGTTCCATGACTCTTCACTCCAAAACATGAGCAAATTAAAGAGGAAAACTGTTCTCCTCGGAAGCTGGAGCTCCCACTGTGAGTGTTTCAGGGTGTCTTTTCTTCACCACCACTTCCTTTTCGTCACCCATGACCTTACCGTGACATCTCCGAGAGGCCCAGCTTCCCGTCGCCGTTCATGTCAAACATCCGCAGCTGCCGGGACACAAGCAGCACCTGGTCACCATTGCCCCCTCCTCCCCTTCACCTCACACATTGTGTGGTGCCAAGACCCCTGGGGGGCACCCACCCCGTGTCAGGAGAGCTGTGGTCCCCTGGGATGAGGTCCCACTTACAATGGTCTGTGTGTACTCCTGCAGCTTGGGCTCGTCACAGGGGCAATTTGCCTTCTTCAGCAGGTCTGACAGGAAGCCCTGAAGGGAGAGGGCTGTGCTGGCTGTCCCCATCCCCAGTGGTCCCAGCAGTGATATCCCACCACAAGGGACCCAGCTCAGCCCACCTCCTGCCCATAGCCCACCTTGAGCTCATTGGCTTCGATGTAGCCGCTGCGGTCTGTGTCGTACCTGCGCCAAGCCTGTGAAGGAACCATCTCCAATGCTGGTGTGGGCTTGTGTCCCATGTTCCCCACCAAAACATGCGAACCCTGCTAAGCCCCACTTGGAGCTTCTCTCACCACCCGGGCAGAGCTGGAGTCAGCTCTTGGCTGGTGGTGGTCTCACCAGTGCCACATCGGAGCTGGATACTTTTGTCCACAGCCATGCCAAGAGTTCAAGCGCTATTATCCTCACCCCAGCATGGAAGACCAGTCTTTAATATTTAATTGCAGCCCCCAATTAAACAATAGCACCCACTTAACTCCCTCCATGCCATTGGGTGCTCCTCTTTTAGCCATCACCTCCACCCTGGTTTCATTTTCCAAGCACAAGCTCTCGCCTCCTGGGATGCTGCTCATCCCACTCCAAACCCCAGCCACATTTCAGTCACCATGGGCAACTTCTCTCCCACCCTGCAGATGGGATTACCCCATGTAAGGGCAGAGTGAGGTTTTGGGGTGGCCCAGAGCAGTGTTGTCTGCTTCAGCACATCCCTTGGGTGCTAAGGACCAACCACCCCAGATTGGAAATTTAAAGAAACAGCTCCAAATCCTTGCAGGTCACCCCTCCTGAAGACTGGGATGAGGTCCCAGCTGCCCTGAGGAGTGCTGACGGGACGATGAGGACAGGGAAAACTCACCACGCTCCCCAAACCAGCACCACCTCCCAGTGCTGACTTAAAGCCAAGATTCTGGGGTAGACTGGGAGAGGTTTGGGCAATACCTGCTCCCAGTTGCATCAGGGAAGTGGATCCTACAGTGAACCCTGGCACAGCCTGCCCTGCTCACCTCCATGAACTCCAAGCTGGAGCCCACATGTTGGCGGAAACACAGCAGGAAATTTTCCTCCGTGGGCAGGATCTGGGCCAGCTGCAGTGAACACGAGCATCACAGGAGATATGAGCATTGGGGGGGATAAAAGCATCTGGGGGGGTACAAGCATCTGGGGGGTGGAGGGGACACAAGCACCCCATGGGTCATGAGACCAGCTCCCCTCACCTCTGCCATCTCAATTTTGCCGTCAGCATTTCTGTCGTACTTGTGCATGAACTCCTTCATCTTGTCACTCAAGTTGTCGTTCTTTGAGTCCTGACAGCAAGGAGCAGAGATGGGAGCATTTATCCCCCTCCCCATGCTGGTGTTTCCCCCTATTTCCTCCTGGAGGGGCCCAGATCCCTCTCCTAGGTGCCGTTCCCAGAGGAGATGGGACTGATGGGAGCCTGAACCTTCAGGAAAGAGGGAACAGGGGAGGGAGAAAGCAAAACCAGGAGAGGCCCTTACCACGCCCGCCCCCTTCCTTGCGCTTTCCAGCTCCTGGAAGAAGTTTTCCAGTTCTTTGCCTTCAATGTAGCCATTTCCTGGGGAAGGAAAAGAATACAGTAATATTCCTCTGGTGTCAGAAGGATGTTTCAGGAGGATGCAGCGCTTCTTCCCCTCTGCAAGGGGACATGGCTTCACGGTGATTGAGGCAGCAAAGAAGCTGGTGCCTAGTGTGGTAGAAATGTGGTGGTGGCTGAATTTGCAGAGAGCCCCATTCGAGGGGACACAGCTATTGACCTGTTCCCCGCACCCAGTTGAAGGGCACAGGGGACTTTGTCCCTGTTCCCATCCCCATCCCAGTGTTTGGTGTGTTTTCTGCTTCTGCTGCTTTAACCACGTGGTTTAACTAAATCTCTTCATTCACCTTGAGCATCAACACCCTCAGGCTCCCCAGCACCATCTTCTTCCCTCTGCAATGCAGTGTCTAGGACCAACCCATCCACATCCCATCTGGAAGCACCTTGGGAAGTCCCAGGACACCTTCCTCTTGATGACTGCATCCTGACAAATAAGCAACATCCCTCCCAGGAGAGGATGAGGGGCTCGGGCAATGCTGGGTGCTGGTGTGAACTGCAGTGGGGCTCGGCTTTCTGCTTTGCTTCTGCAGGTGTGGGAGAGTCACAAGCTCCTTTCAGTTCAGTGCTGGGACGAAGGATAACATCAAGAAAAGCCACGGCAGGCAGCTGGATTTCCTCCAAGCAGCAGCTTGGACAGGTCTGACCCATGTCTGTGGAGTGGCAGGGTGCATGGAAAATCCTCTCTGGAGAGCTATGTCTGGTCCATGCAGCTGCACTGTGGAGACTCCCTGCCAGCAAAGGCACCCAAGGGGACACTTCTGGAGCCTTACAGGAAGGAAGTGAAAGCCCTATCGGAGCTTAAGTACAGGGAAGTGTTTGAGTGAGAGCTCCTTCAGCAGGGGAATGAACAGCGGGTCCCTCTATCATCCCCTTCCCATTGGCAGAGGAAAGCAGCTTGGGCTGCTGGAGCTCCCACCCGGTGTTGCAGAGCATCACCCTCACCAAGACCACCATCTCCTGTGGCTCCCGAGACCCTCCTCACCTGGGCACCCGCCTTGCCGTGGGACACATGCCAAGCTGGGTCCATGCCTGCCTCTGTTTTGGAGATGACAGAGCACCTCTGAGGGACATGCTGCAGGAAGGCAGCCGGACACATACTCCAGGAGCTGCCGATTCCCACTGGCTGCCACCGTCCCACCATCCTTAAGCCCTAACCTGCTGCAGTGCCAGCTCCAGCAGTGACAGGGACAGCCATGCCCATGTCCCCGAGGCTGCAGGAGGGACCCGACAGGGTGGCCGGAAGGGCATTGAACACAGGATGAGCTTTGGCTCCAGCAGCACAGCCAGGGGTGCTGCGTGATGCAGTTCCCAGGAGGATTTTGGTACCCAAACCCTCCTCAGGGATAAGGACATGGGGAAGGAGCTTTCCCCTGGGCTGTTCGTCCCAGCGGAATAAGTCTCCTTCATGGCACCAGAGCACTGCAATAAACTAATTTCCCACCAAAACGATGCTGCTTTTGGTATTTCTGCCCCCCTCCCCCTCTTTTGGGGGTTGGCAGCAATGGGAACCGGGAGGTGGCATGCCCAGCTGCGACTCCCTGGGGAGGTGACATCCCCCCCTGGGGATATGGCCGCTGCCACAGCCTCCCGGGGAAGAGGTTTTGTGGAGCTGGATGAGGGGGACGGAGCTCTCCAGCCATGGGGTGGCCGCTCCTCACCCAGACCCTCTGTCACTCCCATCCTTCAGGGCAGGGGAGGGGGCCAGGACCACGATGGTAGCCGCGCTGTTATTCCCTACCCCCCCCCCCCCCCCACCTCCAGGCACCCCAGGTGCCAAGGACAGGGCTCCGCGGAAGCAGGGGGGGCACCCCTGGAAGGGCAGAACCCCCCGACCAGCACGCAGAGGTGACACCAACCCCGAGCGAACCCCGGCTCTTGGGGGATGTGCGACGGACCTGTGGCACGCCCGGGCTCAGGGGCCCATGGGCGGGGGCCTCTCGCAGGGCCCGGTGCCGGAGCTCTGCACCCCTCCCCGACGGGGCGGTCCCGGGGGATGCCGATAGCCGCCCCGATCCCGGAGCTCCCCTCGACGTGGCTGCTCCCGGAGGCTCCGCGGGCTCTGCCCCTCTGAAATACCCCCGACGGGGTAACCTGGGACTCCACATCGTGTCCGCCCGCGCCCGCGCTAAGGGGGATGCTCAGCCCGGTGCTCTCCGGGCCGGGGCGGGTAACGGCTGTTCCCCCGCGCCCCGGGACTGACCGTCTGCGTCGAAGTGCCGCCAGACGTCGAGGAACTGGGACGCGGTGAGCTCGGCCAGGTGGAGGTGCGGGGCCTGCTGCGGGCCGGCCATCTCCCGCTGCCGCCGCGCCGCTGCCGCCGCAGCCGCCCCTGCCCGCCTCCGCCTTTTATAACCGCCGCCGCCGCCCGCCACCGCCAGGGGGCGCGCTGAGCAGGGACAGCGGAAGGGCAGGGGGACAGGGCTGGGGGGGAGCGGGACACCGGGATGGGAAGGGACGCACCGGGGCGCTCCGGGACAGAGGGACACCGGGACAGAAGAGGAGGGGAGAGAGGACCGGGAACACACCGGGACACACCGAGACAGCGGCGAGGGGAGGGGGACAACAAGACCTAGACAGAGACAGCGGGACAGCGCGGGGGGAGCAGTACGCAGGAACAGAGAGACAGTGGCGAGGGGGACCGCGACGTACCGGGACTTACCGGGACAGCGGGACACAGGAATACCCGGAAACCAGGACAGAGGGGAGGGAAGGGGGACCGAGACGAGGACACCGGGACGGTGAGGGGGGACTTGACAGGACACTGGGGCGCCGGGACACCCAGACACCGAACAGCAGCACCGCGGCGCGGAGGGACGACAAACACGGGGACAGTGGGACAACAGAACCTCGCGGGGTAGACGGGACCGGAACACCGGCACCGCCACGGGGGCGGGTATCGGGACGCCGGGACAGCACAGTTCACAGTGTTAGCAGCCGGCTCCCTGCCCTGCCTTCTCACCTACCCCTGTCCTATGTCACCTGCTCTGCTCGATGTCACCTACCCCTGTATTGACACCTAGCCCTGCCTTGTCACCCTACCCTGCTGCCTCTTCCTGGTGCCTGTCACTCCATCTCTTTCCCAAGTCCCTGCATCCCTTCCTAAACCACCAGCCCTGCCCGTATCACCCAGTCCTCACCCCCATCATCCAGCCCTACCCCTGCCACCACATCTGTGCCCTGCGTCACTGCATTTGTGTGCCTTGTCACTGTCCCCCTGGGCTTCTGACTGCAGCTTCATAGACCATGATCTGCTGGTCCCGGCAGGATGAACCGGTCAGAGGCAGTGCCACCAAGGGGCCATGCGATGGCCACAGCAGGGCTGTCAACCCCAACCCATGGCTGGGGCAAGGACACAGAACTAGGACACCACCCCCAGGACATTCCCCCATCGTTTGGAGGAAAACCCAAGGAGCACTCAGATCAAGGTTTTGCCATTTCTATTGGAGGGTGTCTCCTTGGAGGGATGGGAGCAATGCTCAGCCCAAAAAAGGGACATTTCTCACCCTGGCTCCCAGTTCATTGGGGGAATTTCTTTTCCCAAGTTTTCCCAGATGGCAGGGAAATTTCCAGGCCCAAGCAAACAGCCACATTTGAGGTTTGTCACCGGCTCCAGTGCAGCCTGCCCAAGGCAAGCATTGCCATGGCTGGGGGGGCGGGATGAGCGTGTGTGGAACTGATAAATCCAGATCCAGTGTGAAGGCTCTGGCAATGCGCTTCAGGGGTGTAATTGGATGCAGGTATGTAATTGGCAGCAGGCAGCTGCTGTAGTACCGGCGCTGGTGCCTCTTGGCTGGGAGAAAAAGGGGTGCTCGGTGCCCCCTTAGTGTCAGAGGGAGCAGGCTTGGAGAGTGGAAGGGCTTACTGCCACGGAGGTGGCCCCAAGCCTCAGTCTAACACCATAGGAAGCTGCAGCAGGACAGGATGCCTGATTCTGGGTATGGGAGGAGAGCTATGCTGGGACAAAGAGCAATGGGATGGCTCCTTCTTCCTGCACAGCACAGCCTTCAAGCACACACAGGGATGCTCAAAGGGTGTACTAGATATTCAGCTGACATTTACTGAAGTCTGGCATGGAGATGAGCCCCCAGATCTTCTTTTTCTTATTATTGGAGCATGATTTTCCCCAGCAGAACCCATTTCTTTGCTGTCCCACTCCCTCCAGAGCAAAGTTTTCCTGGAGCTGAGAGTAGACACTCACTGCCACTGCAGGGTTTAAGGACATCTCCTCAGTTGTGCTTGGGCAGGGGAGAGAAGGGGCAGAGGGGTCCCCATTACTGGTCCATCACCCAGTCTGCAGGGAGCAGAGCCCCAACCCACAGCTGGGGTCTGTCTGGATCAACAGCCCATCACAATCACGCTGCTCCAGGACACCCAATTCTGCTGATGAAGACCAGAAGTTGCTTCAATTTGGCACCTAGAAGCCTGCCATCTCCCTGCATGGGTGTCCAGGCATAGCTAGGGGCAGGAGGGGATGTTCCCTCTGCTGAAGAACAGGCTGGATGGTTTCATCTGGCCTTCACCTGTGTCCTACCAGCTCCTAGCTGCAAGTGCCATCAGATATTGGAAAGAATAGACTATTTCACTGCTTTCAGTGTCAGGCTTTAATTCGGGAACAAACCGAGACCATCTCACTGCTGTGCCCTGCATTGCTCCCCCTTGCCCTGCCTATTCAGCATGGCAGGGAGGAGCTTAATTCTTTCCAGCATATGAAATGCCAGCAGTGAAAATCTTAAGCTTTTGAAAAGAACAAAAAATAACCCCAAACCCAAAACATCTCACCACCATAGGAAAAACTCCTTGATTCAACTGCAGGTTTTCAGTAAAGAGAAACCTCTAAGGAAATTTTGGTTACTTGAAGCTTAGCATATGTTCAGTTGCTGAGCTGAGAAATATAACACCATTTTTAAAAGCTTTCTCTTTTGCCTTTATGTTGAAAGGAGTGCAAATGGGAAACCAAGCCTAGCAAAGGAAATGGGATGGATCTCACGGTCACACCTTCTAGGGAGATTGCAGGGTTGTTTCTCAGATAACAGCAGATTTTTACTTAAAAACACATGGATGAGGGACCTGGGGGGATTTATTCTGGAGAAGGCTTAGGGGGGACCTTATAGCTCTGTACAACTGCCTGAAAGGAGGCTGTAATGAGGTGGGGGTCAGTCTCTTCTCTGACATAACAAGGGGTGGGACAAAAGGAAACAGCCTCAAGCTGCACCAGGGGAGGTTTAGACTGGAGACAAGGAACAATTTCTCCCGTAAGGGTGTTCAGGCATCGCAACAGGCTGCACAGGGCAGTGGTGGAGTCACCTTCCCTGGAAGTGCTTACAAACCATGCAGATGAGGCCCTTTGTGACATGGCTTAGTGGTGGCCTTGGCAGTGCTGGGGAATGGTTCAACTTGGTGATCTTAAAGGTCTTCTCCAACCTCATTTATTTGGTGATTTTATGATATCTTCCAGCCAAGGGTTGGGTCAGATGTTTTTCCTCTTGCCATCATCCTTTTATGTGAATCACAGACAAGGGCATCACTAGAACATCTCCATCTTCTCCAGGGACTGGAAGCAGCAGGACCCCATGACCTGAGAAATTTTCTGCGGGTTGATGAGCAAGGAAAAGGAAAGGGGTGGCTCATAGAACCATGGCTACGAGAGAGAGAGACAAGGTGGAGCTGTGCCAGCTCTGACCACACTCAACAAGGCTTTCATGGGTCCCCCTGCCATGGGTATGGCATCAAGGGAGTGCCTGCAGTGGTGGCATTCACTAAGCAGGCAGCATCTGAGCTTATTGGTACCCACAGTACCAGGATCAGTCATGTAATTTGGGATTCTTTCTGCACTTTCCACTTTTTTTTAGCTTTGTTTGAATCTTCCAACTTACTCCTATGACCACAACAACTTGAATTTCAGCAGTAGATAAATGTCACAGAATACAGGAATGAAAAAAAAACTGAGGTTGTCTCAGAATCTACTAATTTCAGCCACGGATGCTGTCAGAAAGCAGCAAGAACACTAAATAAAAGGCACAGCACCAAAGAAACTGTGTCCTGCCTCCAGCACAGATGACCGGCTGCACTGGCACTGCCACAGTCCATCGCACCTTTCAGCTGCTAAAGAATTAGTTGTGATCCTTTGGTCCTCCAGGTTTTTTTCCAAGAGTTCCTTGGCTTAGTGGGATCAGTAAGAAATACCTGTGCAAAGCACTAGGGAAATGCTGGTCCTGCTGATGCTGAACTTTGAGCCCTAGTCCCTCAGGGCTGCCTTTCAGCATGGGGGGGGGGGGGGGGGGTGAGGGTGGTGTGTGGATACAGGTGTATAGCCAAGCAAATCCTTCCTTCCAAGGTATTGGCATAGCAAACAAAAACAGTTTCAGGAGCACAGCAAGTTTTATTTCCTCCCAGTTTCTCCTTCTCCCTGGCATCACTGTATGTCAGCATTTGAAACGCATTAGCAGTAAAAAACAACTAACAGTTGGATTAGGAGTATCTCCAAAGCCAGATGACCCCTCTCTCCCCCTAAACCATGGCAAGACGCCTTCCAAAGTGCCCAGGGCATCTTCCATTTCATTTATAGGGATAAAATCAAGATGTTCATGCAGAGTTTGAACTGTACAAGTTGCTCTTGCACAGCAGAAAGAAGAGCCCTTAGGTGTTTAAGAGTTGAAATGCTATTTACAAAATAGTTTTTAAACCAGACACAATTTGCCAAAGATTTCATCACAGGACAATGTTCAGATCAAGTTTTCAGCTGTATTTAAGTTGTATTTGGGTACAAGTGCATGGTATGGGTTCCACACTGCCTCTGGCACAGCTGGAGCAGATCCAGCAGGCCAAAAGCAGGTGCTGAGCTCCTCATCAGTGCAAAAGCAGATGTTTTGGATGCTTCCCTTCACATTGCAGTCCAGCCTGACTGGGTAATGAATGGAGGCTGCTCAAATCCCAGCCTCAGCTACTCTGCCTTCTCTCTAGCTGCACAGCTGCTTTCCACTCAGCCTTCAGAGACTCTGTATTTACCAAGTATTAAACGAATATGAAGCACCATTTTCTAGAAACAGGAAATTACTTGCTCTCTCTCTATTCTGTAACAAGTCCATACTGGGAACAAGTCTGAAAAGGGAGCAGGTAGAAGTGGTTCCTTCTTGCTCTGCACATCTGCCACTTTTCATATTTCACTGCTTTCACAGCCACTATTGAGGAGCACTTCAGAGCTGATAGATCTGAAAAGCTTCATGGAAAAAGGAGGTGGACTTTCTTTCCCTTCACATACTACCACCAAAGGTCTGGGCCCTGAGACTGCCTTGACAGTCAAACCCACCAAATAGGAAGAGTTGCTGTGTCAGAGGGTTCCTCCAAGTGCTAGGAGCTGCTGATCAAGCTACTTGACTAGTGAGTAGAGCACAGGCAAGGAACACTTCCCCTTCACAAGTCCTCAAGACTAGTCTGGGCAGATTCTTGTTGGGTCTGAGCACAGGTAGCCCTGCCCAGGAGAGAAGGGAATAGAGTGGCCAATCCAAGGTTTCTCCTGTACCTGAGGTGCTACCATTTAAGAAAAAACATGCATAGCACAACTCTATTCCTCCTGGAGGCAACATCTGCATTGTTAATAGAACAGCTCACGCTACTAATTGCAGCATAAGGGCTTCAAGCAAATACCCATCTGGAACAAAAACTCACCAGGCCACAATGTCCTAAAGAAATGTCACAGAAGTCTGAAGGCTGCGATGGAGAGCAAAGTATCGGTGGTAAACAACTGATCAGCTAAATTTAGGAAGGCAGACTGGAGCTCCCCATGACCAGTTAGGTGTCTTCAGTTCAGACCACTGTCAGCTGAAAACATTTAACTATGACAGTGATGGGCTTTACAGAGAGCTCCAAGATAAATGAAGGGGAAAAGGTTACCTAATAATTATAGTTGCTGTTTTACACCCAGCTGCACCCACAGCTCAGCTTGACCTTTGGGCAACAATGTATAACACACTGTCCTGGTGCTATTCACCTTTCCTTGATAGACCACCACCACGCTGGTAAAAAAGATCATGGTGGCCTCTCCTGCTTTTCTTTTACTCTCTGCTAGGCTCAACTTCTCCACGTAAGGGGAGCGGGATAGTCAGAAAGGTATCATACCTGTTCCAAAATAATCCCCACTGTAATCTCACATCACTAAACCCCATAAACAATTGGTGTTCCAACACAAACCTGGTGCTTCAGGGACTGCAGCAGGGCAAAACTGGGGTGAAACACTGGATCAAACTGATCTCCTCTTTGAGACACCAAAATGTAACTGGTATCCAGTGCAAGCGGTCCAAGCTGCTGGTCTCCAAGTCATTCAGAAACAGAAGGAACAAAACCAGGCCAAGCTGGACCTGGATCCTCTTTCCAGCTTGGCTAATTTTATATGGTGCATGGATAAGTCATGCTGCTTTCACCCCCTTTAAAAAGGGGCAACAAGGCCCAAAATAGAGCAGAGAGGTGTGAGGGGATGCTGGCAGCAGGCTCTGTCAACCAGTCATGAAGAGCCAAAAAGAGGGTAAAGAGAGGGCTTTTAGGGGAGGCCTTCTGGGATGGAAAGGAAACACCAACCCGCACGTGGGGATGCAGTGTTTTCCCAAGCTGGAAAAATCATCTGTGATTATAGAATCATAGAATGGTTTGGTCTGGAAAGGACCTTGAGATCACCTAGTTCCAATCCCCTGCCATGGGCAGGGATGCCTCACACTAGACCATGTCACCAGCCTGGACTTGAACACTGCCAGAGATGGGGTATTCACCACTTCTCTGGGCAACCCGTGCCAGGGCCCCACCACCCTCACAGTAAAGAACTTTTTTTCCTTATATCTAACTTGAACTTCCCCCGTTTAAGTGTAAATATATTACCCCTTGTCCTGTTGCTGCAGTCACTGATAGAAGAATCCCTATGTGGCATCCTTCACCTGCTTTACAGCATGGCTTGTATCCAGGTCCTCACCCAAAACTCAGTCTTTCTGTGGTCTTCCACTGGCTTCAGATCAGGCCCTACTGAAACATACCCAGCAGCACCAAGCCTTGTGACCAGCTCTCAATCCAGCCCATGACATAGGGGGAGTAAACACTCAGGCAAGGAAGATGCTGCGCTGAGAGAGGCGGTACCATGGGCAAGAAACACAAACAGCTCTGCAGCAAAATGATGGGGGAGATGGAGCTCACAGCACCAAGGGACTCATTGCTGATGTGGACTTGGGAATCTGCCAGAGGTCCAACTCTTTCTGTCCCAGAAAGCCATTTTGGTCACTGGCTACTAACAAGGGGATCAGTCTGGCAAAATGCAAAGCAAGCCTCTGCACCTGAACAGCTAAAGCACAGGTACAAAAATCAGCAGGTCTATTCAACATCAGACAACAATCTCACCAACACCATTTGTTAGTGTTCACACATTAGGATACAAGCAACAAAAGGGTGGAGGTCACAAAGGGTTTGTGCTTTCCCCCAGTTTGCCAAGGAGGTGCGTGACCAGTTTCTTCAAGGCTTCAGCCCGGACCACTGAGATGCGCAGCACTTCCTCATGGTTGGCTTTCTCTTGACTGTTGTAGCTCATCACCACCTTGTTTGTGATGAGGGAGATCCCAAGAACACGGAGGCCGCAGTGCCTGGCTACAATTACTTCTGGGATTGTGCTCATGCCTATGGTAGGAGAGAAAAGGAGCAGAATGAGGCAGGATTTCCACAAAACCAAGATCTCCCCAAGGCTGCAGAGGGTTGCTTTGTAGGGAAGGGAGACAGTGAAAATCTTCAGTATCAGGATTAAAAAAAAAAAAAAAGGAATATGACTATTTCATATGGGGCCCACTCAGTCCTGCTGAAGTTAAGCCATCTGAGCATGGGAAATAAAACATCATTCTCAGATCCCTGACCTGGGCAGCCACAAGCATAGGGGCTTTCTGCAGATCCACCCGAGAAGCTGCACTAAGACACTGCAAAACTAAGCAGAAACACGGAGCTCATTCTCTGGGCCCAGGAGACTTAGAGAATCAAATACTGAAGAAACTCAGTGTTGAGCAGAATTGTTCAATCCATGTGCCCAACCAAACTTCCCAGCCCAGGCATCTTACCTACAGCATCTGCTCCCAAGGCCTGCAGCACACGGCACTCAGCAATGGTTTCATAGGAGGGACCAGCCAGCTGGCAGTACACTCCTTCTCGGGTGAAGCTCACAAAGCCCAGCTCCTGAGCACTCTCTACTGCCAGGCCAAGCAGGTCTTGTTCGTAAGCATCTGACATGCAGGGAAACCTCACTCCAAACCTGCAAATCAGGAAAGGGCGTGGCCATGAGATATTGCTACTGCTACCTTCCCTCCATCAGAGATCCTGGATGCTCATCCTTTAGAGAAGTGGGAAATGTAAAGGACAGACCTGCCATGGATGCAATCTCTCCCATTCCAGCCTCACCATCAGGTAATTCTGCCATCATGGCATTCCTCCTAGATCTAATAACTCGAAACACTCAGTGTGCGGAGGTTATGACTGTTGGAAGGTCTGGCACTGCTTTCCTACTGCACCAACCCTGCTGGAATAGTCTTCCAAGAGACTTCCATCTCCAGGGAGCACTGACGGCTAGTTCTGTCTCCCCAGTAACTGCCCATGGTGGCCTTTAAACCTTGTTCATCAGACAGATGCTGCTCTTTGCTTCTCCTGCACAAGAGCTTGCAGATAGGGTCACTGTAGCACCAAGGTACAAAAAACAGCCCAGTGAGAGGGTTTGAGCAGGGCCTGATGGAGTATCAGTTACCACAATTAGGGCTCATGGCAGCAGGCAGCTACATAACCAGGCTCACAGCAGGGATGGTCTGTACCACAGCAGCAAGGGCTGTCCTGTCCCCACACTGACAGCCGTACGCTTGAAACAAAGAATTGAATGCACTGGATAAATCAGATGAGATTTGGATCTTTCCACTTTACTGTTTACATTAGACCAGTTTGAAGGGACTTCAAGGAAAGATTCTCTTTGGAAGATGAGCCAAGTTTCATAGTCAGAAAATACATCCCAGGAAAGAGCATCCACTTCTGCATTTGATTACTGGCATAACAAAATCACACCAAGCACAAGCTTGGAAGCTTCTTTAGGATGGAAGTACAATTAAATTGCCTATTTGAGATGCCCATCCAGAGTATGCATCCATCCTGTAGGTCTTACATTGCACTTGCCAGCCCCAGAGTAGAAGACTGACATGCTGCTCCTGAGGAAATCTAGAAAATAAGCTCCCAGCCATGTTCACCAACCCAGTTCCATAGGAGTGGACCAGTCACTCATCTGGGCTGTTAAATCTCCTGCTGTTTCCATATTTTTCCAGCTGAATGTTTAGAGCAGTAAGGTGGCTTATTTTATATTTATATGAATTAAGTATTACATAAACAAAATAAAACTTTCCTGTTTGGTCTGAGGTAGTGACTACTTATAACCATGAAAATAGCTTCTCTTTCCTGAAGGAAGGCCAGCAATGCAGAAGCCAATCTCCAACTCATTGAAGTCAGTCCTCAGATTCTTGTGGTACATTCCCTTTCCACTTCATACTGTGTCTGATTTTACTCTGTTGGGCTTAAACCCTTCCTTGTAGCTGAGCTGGACTGGATTTTAGGAGAAGTTTGCTCTGCTAAAGCTCTGCAATACTTTGCAATCTGATTCACAAAGACCTTTTGCCTATTTTGGTCAGCAGGACAAAAGTCACCTTCCAGAGCACTGCAGTCTTCACCAGGAAGCTGCTTTGGAGAGGCAACACCACAGCTACGCTTCCTTTGAATGCTGTCCAGGTGCAACTGATTGGTATTTCTCCTTCTGTTCCACATCAATTATGCAAGTCCAGACAGCTTTAAAAACTCCTCCATGTGGCCTCTGTGCTTTTTATCATTCTTTCCTTCAAACCACACCAATACCTATGAAGATGTAAAGATAATCCTCTTCAGATGGGTACTGTTCTCTTGACATCTGAATCACAGAACAGTATTTATCTCTGAGGCAGTTGCTAGCACCTTTCCTATTTCTTCAGAAATAGGAACCAGCTCTGGCATTACATCCAAAAAACTGATTGTAAAAGGAAGCTAGGCAGATCACCTTGTTCTTGGACAGAACTTTTTGGAGAGAAACCAGGAAGTTCCAGATGCCTGTCCCGTAAATATGTTCTTTTTACAAATGAAGGCAGTAACCCAATAACAGATTTAACCATATTGTTATTTAAGCTCACTCTTTTTTCATAAACTACCACCTCCTTCACCCATCCTCTGACTTCACAAACCTGGCTTCCATCTGGCTTCTCTCCTGCCAGCTTGTTAGGAAATAATTCTTGCTATTCTTACCAACTTTTCACAGTCCAGCCTCTTTCTTTCCTTCCATAAGGCTCTTGACAGCCTTGGATCTTTACTGCTTACATTTTGACAGCCCTGACATTTGATGTGCTCTCCTTTCCTCAGCCTGAGTCTCCAGTGGATGCGTCCTTATGCTCTTTTTAGCCCCATTAAAGTGCCAACAGGCTTCTTTTTGTAAACACTGGTCCATCTGTCCCCCAGCACTGCTATGACCTTGAGGGTACTGGTTGCCTTCCACCCTACCAGTCTGAAAGGTGCCTTTGAAAGAGATTTTAGGATAACAGATTAATTCTGGCAAAGACCTCAAGGTCATCTAGTCCAACCTTCTGCTCTAAGCAACTTTTCTGGTGGCAACACCAGTCCAGGGGTGAGGATGTGCCAAAAGAGCCTCTGTGCCCCATCCACAGGGTAAAGATCCTACTACACAGCTACTATAGGAAACCTGATTTCCCAGCTGAACCAGCAGCAGGTCAATCTCAGATCTAGAGGTCTCTTACGAAGCTGACAAGACAACCGCCTCTCAGACCGATGCCTTCGGTGAATATATGTTAACAAAGGCACACCAGTTTAATGACCTGGCTACGAAGGTGGTTATCAGGATGTCTAGAATTTTTATCTTTGCTCTGAGATCAGCTTACTGCCTGGCCTTTCTTGTATCAGTTCCATCACACTAGAAATGGCTGTTGATAAATGCAGGCTGGAAACTGCAGTTCAGACTGCTCAATTATGAGGAATTGGCACAGGGGGGGACTGACAAGAAGAGACAGAAGCAGGTCTCTACAGCAGATGGTATGGCTGGCCATGTCAGGAGAGGGATCACAAGCCTTCTTTTGTAAAACAAAACCTTCTGGATGCTTGCTTATAAATTCCTTAGAGGCTTGCAAGAGTAAGCAACAGCAAGGAAGGGTGCTTGGGGAAGACAGGGGAGGTGATACAGCACACAAACCTACTGCTTCTGCTTTAACTTTTCCCTTGTGTGTACCCGGAGCCACACTCTACCTCTCAGTAAACACTTGCCAGCAGACACAGCTGGCAGTCCTAGCCTGCAGCCAGAGGAAGAAAGGATTAGTTGGTAGTAGAGCTGATGCCTTCTTACCTCTCATCATTTGGCCCACGCAGTGGATTCTGCCCTCCCAAGCCAAACATGCTGATGTGATCTCTAATGAACATGATATCCCCCACTTGGAAGTTGGGATTCAGTCCCCCAGCAGCATTTGTGACAATCAAGATCTCCACCCCGAGGAGAAACAAGACCCTGATGGGAAAAGTAACCTGCACGAGCCAGAGGCATATATACCATGAGTATCACAATTACTAGACAGCTACTGCTACATCAGCATTATCAGAAGTTGTGGATAGCATTCATAATGCAGAGAAGGCTCTACATAAGGCTACAAGAAGACAAAACTTTCTCCAATTTTAAATATTCCTCTAATTTTAATAGAAAGAATTTTAGTGTTTTTAAACATACTAAAACCTGATTTTTAAATGAAAACCATTAAAATTCAAGCCCATATTTCCTAGAGTTTCATTGTGGCCAAATAAACATCACACAAAAAACCAAACCAAACTAAAACCCTAATATACAGATAGTTTTTCCTTGCTGCCAAGGTCTTGCAGAAATCAATCCACTGTGGCGACTGAAGTAACTACTTATGCACATGGACTTGTGCATAAGTAGTTAAACTCTACACTACAGCTCAATACTTTGAAGGTAATTGATAAACCAGCTTTTTACAGCACTGATGCCATTTTATAGCACCATATAGTTTTTATTAATTTCATTTTATTCACATGGGTGAATAAAATGCATATCCAAAATTAAGAAACAATTGGGAACTGGAAAAAAAAAGAGAAGCTTGATTTCAAGGAATCAAGAAGAAATCAGGGGTATCTGCTACCTCTGAAATGCTAATGGAGCTGTGAGCAGAAATATTTCCTAACTATGGACATCCCTTCTTTAAGAAATGAGTTAATTTTAATAGACAAACGTGTCTTGATAAACCTAGATTTGTGTCAAGTGCATTTAAAATAGTTTCTCCTCCCTGCCAAGAAGCTGAGCAGTGCCAAGTATTACAGTTTAGATCTGAATGCAAACTGACTTCAGCCACAAGTAAAATCTCAAAGCTACCAAAATAAAACAACAAACAGAACTATCAGCCAGTAAAACAAGATTATTGTGTATATTAATTTGCCTTGTCTGATATGCCATTTTCCCCTAAAGTACAGCAGGGCTAGCCACTCTGCATGGCTGCACATCAGCTTCACCTAGCAGAAGCTGCCTACCTCTTGGTTTGAGCTCCCAGTTTTACTTCTTTTTTTTGGGGGGGGAGAAATCTCAAATCTAAGCACAATTACAAGAGCAATGTAAGTTCACTGCAAGAGGTAACCTCCTGCAGCTAGATATCAAAGCAAGCAGTCCCTTTTGCATCTTTTACAGCACACCTCCCCCTGTGTGGGTGATTTCAAGGAGAACTCACCATGCTGACAGAGTATCCTTCATAACAGTGGAAACGTCCCTGCATACACACACAGGGCTGTCCATTCAGCTCCCCAAACACCAATCTGCCAAGATGCCCTGCAACTGGAAATTAATATTGCCATTTCAGTTATGGGTCTCAAGGTCTTTGACTTTAGAAGCATTTGTCAGTTGATGATTATGCATTACAGCAGGGCTAAGAGCTGAAAGCCAACTAAATAGCATAGCACAGGAATACGTATTTTAATTTACTTTTTTACTGTGAACACACATTTCACCAGAGACCGGTTTGCAGACCAATGCCAAGTGGTGCATGTTGACTAATCTTTCTGTAGGGCTGTTGCAGGCTGCTGATGCATGGGATTCTGATGCCCTGGAATGTACTAACCTGTGCTCCGTGGGAAGTGAGGGATGTCCTCATACAGAAAGACTGTCTTGTTATCCAACACATCAGCCAGGCCTCCCAGTCCAGATCCACAGATGATGGCAGTCTTTGGGCACTGGGCAGTGCGGGCATGCAACCAATCTGCTGTTTCCTTACACATCTCATAGCTATTTCTGCAGAAGGAGAACAGGTCAATGAGTCTATCAACCCATCCAAAGAACAAGCTTCAAAGGGTAAGAGTCCTAGAAAGATGCAAGGAAAAAGAAGTTTCACTAAGATTAAAATAATAGGGGCTTCATTGCTATCACTGAAGAGGTTTCACTTTTAATCTCACATTTTACTCCTGGACACAGGCAAGCATTTGAATCCTCTTTACTAATTTCATTCTATAGTGCTTTCTTTCCGGACTGGTACCACATGTCAAACATTCACCTTCTCAAACCCTTGTGGTTTCAGTACAGAAAGCTGAATAGATTTTATTCATCCTCTCCCACAGGATGCGTAGTGGGTCACACCCACAGTCTGATCTTTGTCAAGAGGCTCAATGAGATCAGCTTTTGTCAACACAAGTGAAAACCAGAAATTTGTGCTCCTGCTCCTGTCTGATTTAAGAGGGGGACTGCTCAAACACCTTGGCAAAAAAATTGTCTTTTCCAGCACTGAGGCACACTGCTAGAAAGCAGGATAGAAGTTGGCATTGCACAGCCAAGGGAGACAACTTCAATTTTTAGGCCTGTCAGTCCAGTATGCATCAGATGCATTAATCAGTTTTGAAACACAGTCAATAGCAGAATAATCCCATAATCCTGTTTCCAACAGAAAAACATAGATACTTTCCAAAAGGCAACATCAAGCTTGATTGCAAACTCTCCTCAAAAGCAAGGGCAGCGACAGCGTTTCTTGTATAGTGACTCAATCATTACCACTGATGAGTAGAACTCATGACTCTATATGGTCAGAGTGAAGCAACACAGGTAGGGGCAGAATTTTCTCTGTACAAAAACCTGATCTGTTTATTAAGGGGTGAGAGAATTGGATACTTCAAGGCTGAAGGTAATGTAAAATTGACTGGAGATGCTGACAAACTGTCACTTCATGAATGTTTCTTATTTTTGGAATCAAGTTTGTTTCCAGAGGTGCAAACCTTGGTTGTGTTGCGATTCTGCTGTCTACAGCACCTACAGAAAAGCTGTCAAAGTGCTGCTCCACACCCCAGGAGGTCTCAGACCACTGATGTAGAGGATCTGACTGTCAATGTGCTGCTGGTTCCTCTGACTGATATAACAGCTATTCAAAAAAAGGACCTCAATTCTACTTTTTTAATTTCTTTATACTGACAAGGCAGGTAGTTATTGCACGGGCATCTTCTAGCTAAGTGTTTTTTCATCTCCTAGCTGTCTGTCTCCTGCTGTAAGGCCTTTCCAATGCCTGATACATCAAACTTATGCTCCCTGTTACAAACTACAATATCAAAAATACCTGAGTATGTCATAAACCTGCAATCCAGTGAGAAGAAATAACTTCCATAGGCATCACAAAATGAAGAGTCACACTTAGCTGAAATACTTGTCAAAAGAAAAGCCTGGAAATGAGGAAGTTTATTTAGCATAACATGCTGTTGAGTTTGCCAAGTGTATGAGCAGCTCCTGAAATAAGCAAAAGCTATGGAAGTGACATTAGTACAGCCTCCACTTAACTGACTATATTATCCCTTCCTCCCAGATAAAAGCTCTAAAAGAGCTTTACATACATGAATGAATGATTCCCACCAATTTCACTGCTGAGTAACTTTCAGCCTTACTTAGAAATTAGAGGGAACCAAGAGAATTTAAATGTAACATCTGAGCTTTTGATGTACCTGCAGCAGGCATGAGAACTGAATGAGGTCACCAGGATCTGCTCTTCCTCTTGATCAGTATTTTTTAAGGTGCATACACCTTTGCAAAATAACATTAGAGATATTATTCCTGTATCCCCAGAAATTTTAGAAGTGTGGGATGAATCCCATTCAATGCCTGCTGAAGACATTGGGATTGACTGAGCTGTGCTAGGTTTCAGGGAAATATCTTTCCCTTCTAAACAGATGATGTTAAAATATTTCTTAACCAAAGCAGTAGATCTGCAGCTCTGTGTCACCCTCCCTGCCTGAAAGGAGCTTCAGCAGGCAGGCAGGGGCCTTGCAGAGCCCTCTCCATCCCAAAAACTTTGGGTACAACAGTGCTGAGAGCACAGTGATGTCAAAATTCATCTTCAGTGTCCTGCTTGCACTGTTTAGTTTTCAGAAATCTACCAGATGCACAGCATCAAAGGAACTGGCAGGCACAGAGAATTCCTGAATGTGAAAAGATACCTGCTGCTCTAGAGGAACAGAGGAAAAGTTTGACCTGTGAGTCATCAAATGCAATGTTTAGCCTGGAACTGCAAGAATCTGAAGTTTATGCAAGCTTTTTGGCAGCCTGAATTAACACATGTAGCACAAAGCCCCCTATAGCTCCCCTGTTTCCAACAATGCACACCTAATAACAGTGCTCAGTTTGGATTAAATCACAGGATGAGCTGAAAACACAATCCCCTTTATTGTGATTGCTGTCATCCACTGCAGAAACACATCTGCTGCAAAACACACGACTGTCACCAATGACAGATCTTTTATGGCATATAAAACCCCACCCTCATTATGCTTCCAGGATGGCTGAAAGCAAATCCATGTAAAAAGCAGACATATCCAAACAAAGAAAGCAAGCATTATGTTTCAGAGGGGCACACCACCATACATATGTGCAGTGTATGTCTCTCCACATCTACCTCTTCTGGGCCGTAACCTTCTCCCAGGGTCACCTGCTCTGCGCTGTATTGCATAATACCAGCACCTGACACAGGCAGACAGCCAGGCTCCTCCTCAGCAATAAGATGTTCACTTCTGAGCAGCCTTGTCTGACATTTATTGAGTGCCCAATAGGAAGAAGAGGAAAACAAGGCAAGAAAAAGTGATGTAATTTCATCAGCCCCTTCCAGCTTGGACGTCTCTGCATCCCGTTTCACAGCACCTTACCTGTCTTCCTCAGCATAGGCCATCCTCCTCCTTCCTGGTTAACCAAAAGAAGGGGATAGTTGCTGGCTAGAGCTGCAGGGGTTTATTTGACCGAAGAGAAGAAGCCCATTGAACCTGCACGAACTGCTGCTGTCTCTGGTGGTGAGGCAGGGAGGTGTGTCCCAGCTTCTCTCTGCTTTACCCTGATCGTCTCTAATCCCCGGGTAGGAGGGGCATGTTCAGGACATCTGCTTTTCTGGTTTCACTGCTCATGGCACACATGTTCCAGAGCTCTGCAGAAAGCCTACACACACGCACATGCTTTATAATGCAGATTAAGACTGGAAAGTTCACATGTGCACACACACAACTTTCCAGCAGCCACCCAGAGAAGAGCAGCTGACAGTGGGTCTGCATAGATTAGAATATGCTTGCATCAACTAGGAACCAGGCTGCAACAGGAGTCACCTGCTCCTTTGCAAGTCAAACCTCTGGGAGCATGGTGAGAGCTCTGCCTGATAACCTGTACCTGCTACTACTGCACTGAGACACTTCCATAGCTCACATCTTCCCATTCTCACATGGTAACAAGAGGTAATGTCTTACTAGCTTCCCCCATTTGGTTCCCCCTCCCTCACATTTATTTGCCTTACCCATCACAAAAGAAAGTATTGTAATGAGATATGCTAAATCTTTGTTCAGCTGACTGCATTATGGAAGACAGGAAAAAAAATATCAGGGGCCCCACTATCTGCCTCTCTAGTCCTCGCATTATTTCTTATGGAAACAAAACTTGAAACACCCCTGTCATATGGGTCTGTCTGTGCAACAGCAGCCAATCCTGACAGCTGATGTGAAGCACATTTTACACAGCCACAGATGTTTCCAAGACAATCAATGCCAAAATAATTTCAAGAAAATCAGTGATGAGTAAACAGACTTTACATGCCCCAGGTAAAAGGCTACAGCTACATATTGCACTCACAGTTTACTAGATGCAGAAGGGACACATGTGGCTAGAATTTATAGACATCCCAAGCAGCAAGAAAACCTCAATTAGAACTTGACAATTCTTAGGGCAAATCAACCAGACATTAAAAAAAAAAAAAAATTACAAAATCAGGCAGCACCAGTTTCACATCTCAGTATTTCTTATTATTTTCATTCATGTTTGCTTTGTTAGTCTTTAAGACCACATCAAACATCCCCTTGGCTGCCCCAGAAAACTCTCTCAGAGAACTTAAAATATAAACAAGGCAATAAATGCAGCAAGAAAAACCTGGGTATTTTAAGAGATATACTTCATATTGGAAAACAAAAATCCACACATTGAGGAACCTCTCAATGCCAGCACTGGTGATAACCAGCAGGATTTAAACACCAAATTCTGCGCACCACAGGTATTTGCTGAAAGATACAACTGGCACCAAAGAAGTAGAAATCGGATTTAAATAGAAACCTTAAGTGCACTTTCCCACCAAGTTGTTGAGCTTCTCCTTTCCCCCCTCATGTTTGCATTTCTGCTTCTTATTTACTTTCTCTTGGAAAACTTACAATGCCTTTTCCACAAAGATCAGCAGGTAGGAGCGCTGCCACTGCAGGAACCAGTGGTACACTGCTGTTGCAGAATGACTTTAAGAGCAGAACCATAGAGTTCTGGAGGACTGTGCAAGCAAGGCAGGGGGTGGCCCCCACAGGTGGCCAGAGACCGGACCTGGGGACCCGGGATATAGGGCCCCGACTAGCGGGGACCCAGGATATAGGGCCCCGACTAGCGGGGACCCAGGATATAGGGCCCCGACTAGCGGGGACCCGGGATACAGGGCCCTGGTCGCTGGGGACCCGGATTATAGGGCTCCGACTAGCGGGGACCCAGGATATAGGGCCCCGACTAGCGGGGACCCGGGATACAGGGCCCCGGTCGACGGGGACCCGGATAAAGGGACCCGGCCGACGGGGACCCGGGATACAGGGACCCAGTTTATCGGGGACCCAGGATACAGGGACCCGGTTTATCGGGGACCCAGGATACAGGGACCCGGTTTAACGGGGACCCAGGATACAGGGACCCGGTTTAACGGGGACCCAGGATACAGGGACCCGGTTTAACGGGGACCCAGGATACAGGGACCCGGTTTAACGGGGACCCAGGATACAGGGACCCGGTTTAACGGGGACCCAGGATACAGGGCCCCGGTCGACGGGGACCCGGGATACAGGGCCCCGACTAGCGGGGACCGGGGATACAGGGCCCCGGTCGACGGGGACCCGGAACGGCGAGAGAGCGGCGCCGGCGGCAGCGGCCGGGCAGCGCGGGCAATGCTGCTGCGGTGGCGTGACGGACCCGGGTGCTGCGACTTTCAAAAAAAGTCCGCCGCTGGGGTATACCAGACACTGCTGCGTCGGGAGGCCGATCCGGAGACCGAGATTACAGGACGACCCAGAAGAAGACGATCCGGAAAAGGCTGGCCATGAAAATGGACCGAGAGGTAGCCCTGGACTTATTACAGTGCTTTTTATAAAAGCGGGGAACTGAGCCTTGAACTTTTACAGTGCTTTTTATAAAAGCGGGGAACTGAGCCCTGAACTTTTTACAGTGCTTTTTATAAAAGCGGGGAATTGAGCCTGAGACTCTAAAGCAGCTAGCAGGTCTACTGCCTGTAAGGAAGGCTAAGAGATGTTTTTTGCAGATCCTAATACAATATTTGAGAAGAGTGAGTGGCAAAAGTTTGGTGATGAGCTATTTGACTCTGTGCTTAATG